ATTTCCACTGTAAAAGCTGGTCTCTGGCTTCTTTAATGCCTGTCCCTTCTGCGGCGAAGAGTTATTTGAACCGGTAGGAACTCTTTGATATTGATGAGCTGTTAAATGTGAACCTCCTCCTAATACAGCTGATGTAGGTTGTACCGCTTGATTAGATAATGATTCATTAGTTAAACTATTAGATTTGAAGTAATTAGTATTGTTGGTGAAAAGACTTTCAGAGTCATCAAACAACAATCTATTACCACCTGACCTGCTAAATTGATCAACTCTAATAGTTCTTTCCTTTTCTGTTTCGTTAGAGTCCATAGCAGCCTTACCCATTTCGAATAATTCGTTATCATCTTTGCTACCTCTTAATGCATCTGTAGATTCACCACCTTGTAACTTAGGAATGAAAGATACACGATCGTCTCTCATTGGTTGGTAACGAGCATCTGGGTTTCTGTGAATCAATGCAATAGCACAGGTAATGATAGTGAACAATAATAAAAATAGGGCAAACACTGCATTTAATACAAAAAATACAACTGCCATAACTGAAGATACCACCGGTGGTTGACCAAATAAATTACTGAAAAATAAAAATATCAATGAATTGATTAATGTCACTAAATGAATGAAAATGTTGAAAATGTTAGTACGTTTATCTAAGTATGGTCGTATCCAACATAAACAACCAAAATAAAGCACTTCTATAATGAAAACGATCAAAGCTTGAGCTTTACCATTATGTTGTAAGACAGCGACAAATAAAGATCTTAAGAATGAATAGGCCAATAATGGCATTAGCCACCAATACTTGTCAGCGTGAAATTGTGAATATAAGAACCCATATCTATTCAAAAATTTCATGTCACCATACAGTAAATATGCAGGTGTCTTATACATTCTTGTAGACTCTCTGCCTTTTAAAATCACACGTAAAGTACCATATGCCATCAAACCCAGGCACAAGGCAAATATTACAATTGCATCCACTATTACTGCTGGTGAATCAATTTGGGTAAATTCCCAGATACATAGTAAAGTTAATTGAGGGAATGCAATAATTACCATTCTGTATAAGGTACCTTTCATGACACTACTCCAGTTTTTTCTAAATTGGAAGAAATTGGCTGTTGCTTGAATTACATTTAAACGAGCCAAAAGTTCAATTAATGCTTTAAAGAATACCATACCTACAGAGAGGAAGAATAAAAAGAAAATAAAGAACACTACACCTGTTAAGAAGAAATTTGATAATTCAATCCCTGCTTTAAATGCTACACGTTCGATACCTCTTAGAACTAGAATTTTTGTAACGTAGTCAGTGCTATTTCTTTCATTTGAAGTGTAAAGTGAAGAGTCGTCTAATACTGAATCAAAATATAGATCGCTTGATGATGCAACAGATACAGCTCTTTTGAATAAATTTGTAAGCAATCTCTTTTGGACTGTAATAGATAACAGATCTTTGTTTGCTACAACTACGGTTGATTCACCTTTAGTAGCTTGAACATACCAATCGAAAACATCTTGCATGAACTTTGCATTAATAATACCCATTGACCATTGGAAGTTCTGGGTCCAAGCAGCAGCAATTGGTGGTACCTTTGAAACTGCACACATAGCCGTAATAGCTAAATTTTGGAAATAGATAAATAAAGAGATCGAATTTGATGCAATATGAGCAGAAGTTGTAGAATACCCAATAACTGAGACAAAAGCAGAGGTTAATATACCTAAACCTGAAATTGCGGCAATTGGCCAAGATGCATATTTTGTTTGAACAGTTTTATCATTACTCAACGTAGCTTGAACACAAGCCAAAGTATTTGAATCGCTGCTGTCACTACTTGAATAAACTGTTACACGAACTTGCGCATCTAAATCAGGTATCGTGTAAGCTACGTTTGGGATTTGTTTTGTATATTCATTATTCTCCAACTTATAACTTGAAGATATATCAATTCTACCTGCAACTAAGGGACATAGAGATAGGTCACCTAACGAACATAAATCAAAAGTATCTTCGAAAACGTTTAAACCATACACGATTAACTGAACTTTAACTTTAACTTTATCATTAATAGTAGTAGTTGCATCGATATTGAATACAACTGATTCATTACCTGGGAAATATTTCACCTCGAAGAAAGATGCTGTAAATTGTGAATTTTCCATACATGTTAACAACGAGGAAGTTTTAATGTGTTTTGTAGAATTATTAGCAAAAACCAGTTGCCAAAATGACATCCAAAGTATCAAATGCACATATAAAAAACTTTTAAAATTCATCACTATTGTTCTTGAAGTACTTTACAAAAGTAATATGTGTCTTAATTTTTATGTTTTATTTCAAATAAACCAGATGCAGCAAATGGGTTTTCCCAACGATGCCAGATCCTGTCCTTGCAGTATTTTTTTTTTTCTTTCTTGTTCTTATAGCAAAAAAAAAAAGAGATATTTTAGATGTAACCAACGAATCTATCTCTATATTGGCAATAGGATACAGTATAATAAACAAATGATGTCTAGTAACTCACCAGATCAAATAAAAATATCTTTCAAAAAAAAATATTTTTTGGTTATTTAATTATATATGGAACTTCTTTCTTTTTTGCAAGCCAAAATCCAAAGGTATCTGTGAACCAGTCCTGAACCAAATACAAATCCTTAAACAAAAAGGATCCCCACACTCGTACGCAAATAAAACTTCAAAAGACAAACTCTCAAGACAACTAGTAACCTATAATAACCTTAGATCAATACAATTATATATTTATATGTGTCTTAGTTGTTTAAACTAGTTAGTTTAGTTAATTCGATTCGAAGATGCTTTGTTTCGATATAGGCGAAATGCGTTAAAAAGAAAAGGAAAGAATCAAATATGTTGCTAAATTTAGTAGCAAATATATATGTATGTATATATTATTTCGAAACCGAAACAGAAACAGATGAAATGATTTTTCATTACTTGCATGTATGTTATGTTATATAAAACAGTTGACTTGACTGGAACAACATCAACATCAACATCAACACCAAGAGCAAGAGCAAGAGCAAGATCAAAATAGTAATGCATCTGCAAAATTGCTTGGTTTGATCTTGGCTTAGCAAAAGCGTCAATCGTTCTTGGAACACTGGCACTCCAGAGCAGAGATGTATGCATTCGATGCAATGCAAATATAATATAGGTGAGATGTGTCAAGCTGGTCTATATTAAAAAGTGTGTTATAACACTGGCTTGATTAATTAAAGTTTTGCCATGTCTTGCAGAATAAGCTATCGTGGCTTGGGAATCCATGTCTTTTAATCTATTGCAAATTAATCAATTGATCAATTGATTAATTAAACCAAGAGAGCTTAACAGTTGTTATGATCACGACGGTGACTGATAACGTTGAGTCTATCTTGTTTGAAGTAATAAATAGTAGTGGGAATTGGTCGTGTTAGGGTGGAGGAAGGAGGGGGGGTCGGTAGTGATACTAGTTATTCAGCCTATTTTATGGCTCATCTCGTCTCGTCTCGTCTAGTCTTGTCTTGTCTTATGTCATTACACTACCCCTCGCAAGTACATTTTTACAGTATATTAGTTTATCTCGTTGTATAGAATATTCATGCTTCTTGTTACAGGTTGCTAGTGGTCTTGTTTCGATAACAGCAGAGAATAGGGACCGACTGTGGTGGTTAACTAAGAAGTGTTAATTTCGAATATGAGTTATGGTATAAAACCTGATGTTACATCCTTGGATGAGGATTTGAAACTTTTAAGAAGTTCAAAATTCTCACAGGAGGCTATTAGTGATATTAAAACCTGGATACTAAAGTCTGTTTTAAACTTGAATTTGGATGATTACAATAATGTTACCCTTTTGGAATTATTAAAGGATGGTACCATACTGTGTAAGTTGGCTAATGAGTTGATCAAGCAAGATGGCGGGGACAATGATTCAATTAAGTTGATCAAATGGAAAGAATCAAAAATGCCCTTTGTTCAAATGGAACAGATATCAAACTTTTTAGCTTTTGCTAGAAATTATGGTGTGCCTGAAGATGAATTATTTCAAACTATCGACTTATATGAAGAACAGGATCCTGCTATTGTATACCAAACCTTAAAATCAATTTCAAGGTATGCAAATAAAAAACATCCTGAGAGATTCCCTGTAATTGGTCCACAACTATCAACAAAGAGGCCTCGACCACCTGTCAAGGGTAAACCAAAGCATTTACAATCTAGTGGTGGCTGGAGTTCTATGGAATATGGGTTTATGAAAGGTGCCTCACAGAGCTCAGAAGGTGTCGTCTTTGGTCAAAGAAGAGATATTGTGTAGCAAAAATAACGTTATATTATACTATATCATATTATATTATATTATACAAATTATATATATAGTTTACAAAGAACAGAATGATATTAAATTTGTCGTTACCAGTAGTAGTGGTCATAATAGAGAAAATAATGCTTGGTTTGGCTTGGTTTTTTTATTCAGCTTTCAGCTTTCACCTGATATACTTAATTTATGATTATTAACATGTAAAACCCTCCTCTTCCCCCTTGTCCTAATTAATCTCGATGCAAAAAAAATGTGACACCAGTAGGTCTCTTGTGGTCTAATATTTAAAGAAAAGTTCAGGGTCTTTTCTTAAATTATCACTATCTAGTTCGACAACTTCCCTGACAAATCTGCTAATGTCAACCGGCAACCCAGATTCAAGTTCATCAGGTACGTACAATAATTTTTTCTTACCCAAATGCTTGGCACAGGAAAATAACCCTTCCATTGTATCACAATGAATTATCTTATAATCATTAGTTGAATTCACACTGTCCTTCGATGGTTGGAACTTTAATCCTGGTGTCACTAACACTACACAGTTTGTATCAAACAACCTCTTCCAATCAATACCCTTATTTTCACACAAACTTTTGGTCAAAATAATAGTTTTGGAATCTTGACCCCCATTTCCATCACCATCACCATCGTCACCATCACCATCACCGTCGTCATCATCATCATCTTCATCATCACCACCATTCGTTAAATGATTCCTCCACCAAATATATCCTGTGACACCCAACGCTGCCGCAACTGCTGCACCTGCAACGATCCCCCTTAACCTGTTATTTCTGGACAAATCAGACATAATTGAATAGCTACCTTATATTGATGTTATATGATCCTCCTGAACTTAAACATTAACCACATCTCTCCAATTATAATCCAATAGATCAGAATCAAAAAGTTGATACAAGAGATCAAAACCTTTTTTATATCAATTACAAAATTTAAAGTCGAATCTAAAAAATGTATTTAAGAGATTGAATGGAGATAATCACCACTATAATGATGATGAAGATCCATGAACTGGAGCAACTGGAGGAGTTGAGAGTTGGTTTGGATCGCTAAAGTAGGACAAAAGTAGAGGTTTGAGGTTTATTGTATGTGGTACATAAATAAGGCCTTATTATAATGATTGTTGAGACTACGAAATTTAGTGCGACTACTATTCATTTGGAACATATCACCACTGCTTTGGATTGTTTAATGCCATTTGGTGATAATGATGCATTGATTTATGTTGATAAGGATGGTTTGTCCTTTGTTAGGGAATGTACAAGTGTGATAAGGATCCAGTTGTATCTGTCAAAGGAATTATTTGTTACCTATCTTTACGATGAAGATGAAGATGAGGATGGAGAAGGGGATGGAGACGATTATATGAAGCTTAAAGTTCATCTAAGTCATATTTTGAATAGTTTTAATGTTGTTAATCGTAACAACGACGATATTATTGAATGTACAATGTCCTATAATGGTGATGGACACCCTTTTGTTTTAATATTTGAAGATTCATTTATATCTGAGAAAGTTGAATATAATACTTATTCGACAGAAAATACAGACGGTGCAGCTTTGGAATTAAATAGACAAAGGATTACTTTTGAATGTATCTTGAAGGGTGATATTCTTTATACAGTCTTGAAAGATTTAAAGGAAATCGGTACTGAGGAATATTATATATATGTGAAAACTTCAAAGGACTATAACAAAAATATTTTTGCAATAATATCGAAATCTTCGATGGGTTATTCAAAATTTAAATTTCCTGTTAACAGATCTATAATAGAAAAGTTGCAGGTATTCGATAGTGATTCGACAACCATATTATATGACGAACCTATAATAGGTGTATTTAATAAGTCATCGTTTGATAAGATTAGAATGAGTACAAAAATTGCAAGCAAAGTTTTACTTAGAATGGATGACAATGGACTACTAAGTGTAAATATATTGAGTCAAACTGAAGATTTCGTGTTAGATGAAAACACAAGAACCAAAAATAGTAATAACGATAATAATAATAATAATAATAATAATTTTAATAAAGGACCAAATGCACAATTACCAAAAGATTATCCTGGAATTGTGATCGAGATAAGTATGCTAGGGTCAGCACTTTTTGATGATGATGTCCACACCAACATTTGCTCATTGATGGATGAGGATACGATAAATTCTGACAGATCTACGAGCAGAGTTATAGATCAAGGATCTGGTGGTAATGACGACACCCATGACGAGAACATCCCGTCTACAAATGATATACCATTGTTCTTTTGATGACACTTTTCTAATCACCGTAATTACACAGAAATGATTGCATAAAGTATAATATAGATACAAACATAAAAAATGTAGAATAGTTCAAATTGCATTAATTAATAGATATACTTACCTACACCTACAAATTGATAATATATGTAATTTTTAATTTAATATATAAATGAATAGAGTGTTAATACAAAATGTTCTGAATTCTGATTATAACAAAATTAGTACACTTATTATATTGCTATAATTTCTCCTGATAACAAAAAAATAGAAAATAAACCTTGCTTGAAGGATTAATCAATTTATTGTTGAGAGAAGTGTTCTAAGATCATGTTACGTTCATCAGTGGCAGCACCCCAGTTAGTAACAACGACGACAGAGGCACCGACGACCTTTCTGACGTTACCTTCACGGTCGACCTTACCTAAACCGGCCCATTCACCTAATTGCTTGGCGTCGGCAACCTTAATCAATGGAACCTTGTGTTCGGAGTCATTAGCCAAACCTTCAACTAACTTGATGATGTTGTCTTCAGTAACAGAGCTGACCAAGACAACTAATTGAGCTTGACCCTTGGTCAAAGCCTTGGTAGATTCTCTCAAACCTCTAGCCAAACCATCGTGGATCAAAGCGGTTCTCAAGACAACCTTCAAAGCATCTTCGATGGTAACTTCAGCGGATTGTTCAACGACAACTTCTTCTTGAACTTCGACAATTTCTTCAACGTCAGACATTTTGATTATTACACTAATATGCTAAGTAGTGACTTCTTCGACAGGTTAACTGCTCCGTGGAGAACTGAAATTAAAAATAAGAATGAATAAGATATAATTACAAAAAATTTACAACACTTGAAATAAACAAGTTTCAGAATGTTAGTTAAAGTTCCATTCTTGAAATATTAATTCAATTCGATTCAATAAGCCTATACCAGGATAGGTCTTAGTTAGATAGTATCTAATTCCATCTATTAGTTTCATCATCATCATCATCATCTTGATTTGAAATTTTCATCAATTTGCGTCGGTCCGTTCGAACAATTTTTTTTTATATTTGTGAATGAATTGAGGGGAGGAAAAGACGGAAAACAGAAGAAATTCTGTAGAAGAAAAGGGAAAGCACGTGATTATTTGGCTGTGTGTTGATGGTACTTTTTCTTAAATGGTCGGTGTGTTTTATATTTGGTGTACGGATGTATTTGGTGATTCTGGAGCAGTCACTTGAAAGAATTCACTTGTTGTTATGACACGTGATCATTTAGGTATTTCTCTGTGTAATATCTCTCTTATTGCTTTAGCAATTGGAAAGGAAGATCTTATACACATGTATTTGAAATATACAATACCAAGATACTACTGGTGAAATAGAAATAAAAACGGTATATCAATTAATAATATATACAAACTTATAACATTATAATAATAATACAGATAGAGCCTTTATTATAAATATCTTTAGAGGTTTGATATCTGGTTAAAAAGAAAAAAAAAATTAAAATGCGATATTAAGGGATTGATCATCTTGTTAACAGCTATGTTTCATGGGAGTATTAGTTTATTACTGATGATTCTTGGATTTAAAGATCGACAGTAGTAAAAAAATTGGCATTCAGCTGTTTCATAACATAAAATATATATAGTTTGTGTCTTTGTAATTTCCATTACTTGTTTAAAGATGGATGACACTGGCACTTACTAATATTCTGTTTGATGCTCATATTGTTCTCTTTGTACATGTATTAAGACCAGCTTGGTAGGAAAAAAAATAATTAAAAATAGAAACAAATAAAAATGAAAATGAAATGATCATAAGATTCGCCCTGTATCTTTTTGCCTTTATCACTCCCCTATTGGGAAATATTTTAACATTCCTAATATTTTTATTTTAAAATAATAGTTTTATCACATTTCTAATCTGATCTTTGGGAATTGGTTGGTCGATTGGTCGGTTGATATTTACTGTCTGCAGTCTGCAGTTACATCATAATGACTTCATGAGTTGATAAGCAATTTGCAATTGTTGATTTGGGCATAATGAAGAAAAGAGGGAAAGATCGTAAGAAAATATATAACTAATGCTATATTTCCATCTCTCCTACTGCTTCTTCGACGTTAGAGTTTGACATTTCGATATCTTCGTCATCATCTTCTTCAAAAGTATTTTCATATTCAACAGGAGCAGTTCTGCTTCCTGTAGGTACTTCATCTTCTTCAAAATCAACGTCAAAGAAATCATCGTCACTACCTACAATCTTCTCATATAGCACTTTAGCCGAGGTTACTACCTCATCATAAGATATTTCAGCAGATGGCATAGATGAAAAAATAACACCATTGTCACTAGCACCAGGGATAAGCAATTCTTGGTTCGCATCATGTTTTCTATTGAAGAACTCATCTTTAACAACGTCAAATACCGGAGTACTAGTATATTGAGTATAATACAATTTTAAAAGAAATTGAATTTTGTCCCTTGGGATATATTCTTTAAATGATTTCCCAAGCTTAACTGAATTAATAATACTTTCACCATTTGGTCCAAATTCTAAAATTCCATTTTCATTTTCAAATTCAGTAGAAGTTTCTCTAATTAAGCTCACTTCCAATGCTTCTAATGCAGCATCAAGATCTAATTCAGCTCTAGAGCCAGTTTCAGTAGTCGATAGATACCATATACTGGTTCCAGCTGGACACGTTTCAGTACCAGATCCTAGTATAAAGGCTTGAACAACTTGTCTATTATTGGACTTCAAAGAGTTTGGTGGGAATACAACAATAGCTGCAGATTCTCCTTCAGCAAACCATTGTGAACATGATTTTTCTGCAATACATGTTAATCTATGGACTTCATATGGTTGGTCTGGGACGTTTTTACTATCACTTGCTGTCTGTGTTGGAGACATGATTACTTTTTCCTCAACTTTTACCTTTGAGCCATCATTAAATGTTGCCTCTTTAGTTGTTGGATTGTATGAAACCAATTGTAGATTTAACTTATATGTAGCACCGCCTACTGCTGCTGATCTACAGAAACCTTGAGATAATTCTCCTGGGCCACCATATTTTGAGTATAAGACTGGGAAAGGACCATAAACATCAAAGCTGGTTAAATATCTACGAATTCTTTGTAATGCACCAACAGTTTTGGATTCCAAGTTATAACATAAACCAATGGAAAAAATTAATTCGAAGATTTGTTCTCTCTCTAGCTTGAATTTTTCTAATAATAAATCAATTATGGGTCTATCAGTATAAGGTTTCCAGATTTCCGGTTGTTCTTCCCACTTCAATACAAATTTTATAAATTTCATTAAGTTTCTTTTTGTCATTAAGGATAAACTTTGATCTGTGAAAATTTCTTGTTTTGAATTTGTTAATTTTTCAAACGAATCATTTTCAAAGGTATGAAAGTTTGATAAAGATTGGAATTCCAAATATTGGTGTACTCTCGATTTAATTAAAATCGAAAGCAAATCTGAATTTGCAAATAAGATTTTTGGAGATAAATCAATACCAAAATCTCTTGATTGATATTTATTTCTCTGACTTAAGGTTTTTGAAATATATAATTTTGCATTCTCATAACATTTGGAAGAATTTGAATTGATATCATTAACCCATTGTTTTAGCTGGTCTACAGTTAAAGTAGCAGAAGTATCCCCATAATAATCATTTTTATCGATATGTAAAACGTTTGAACCTTGCCATGATAAAGCAGCAGCCAAGACACTCTCCACCATACCGGTACCTGCAATTAAAACGTCGACTTTTTCTGGTGTAGTATCAGGCAATGGATCTTCAATACCAGCTAAATGAGGCACTACCAATGGAGTACCGACCGATTGCATTGGTGAAGATAAAAATGAGTTCCTACGCTCTGCCATTGATGGACGACGTTCAGCACGAGACATTATTAAAAATGGTTTAAACCTAACTATAACCTAATACTTAATCAATGAACTTCAAAAAGAGGGAAATAATACGAAATAAAAGGTTACCTTAAAAAAAAGATTGCTTCAATAAGGTCCCTTCCAAAAAAAAAACTCTATGTCAAAACAGCTTCTCCAAAGACGTTCAGAATTAAACAAAAAATGGATAAAACTTAAAGTAATGATTTGTTCTCTATACTATTTTATTAAACTTTGGATTTTTTACAATATCTATTCCAAAACTTTAAAATAAAACCTCTTAAAAACAACTTTTTTTTTTCTTATGCTATTTTCTTTTTTGACAATTTCTCTTAATAATATTGAAACCAAAAGAGCTCGAAAAGAATATATAATCAGCTTCCTTTAAGCTCCTCACAAAACAGTCAAATGCAAAATATGATATTACCTATACCTAATAGTAAATTGAACATATCCATCTCTTATGACTTAGTCAAATAAAAGCTTTTGTGAATACTCAATTTAAGTTTTAAACCTTTTTATTTTAAATATTTTAAATTTTTAAAATTTCGGGTCCTCCACACTTTTCTTAAGAGTGTGTAGTGACAAAGAAAAAAAAAATTTTCCTTCCTGCATCATCATCGTCATACTAATAATAACAGTAATTTACGAACAATATTATGATATTGATATTGATATATTCATTCTATCCATCATATTATACAATGAAATGTTGAAGATGGTGGTGATGATGATGTGTAAAGTATGATGTTATTGATTATGATTGAAATTTTGTAATGGTACAAACAAACAGAAGGGGGAGGAAGTTATTAGTTCGAAATAAAAATTTTTTTTTTTTTATCAAGGCAAAAGTAGCATTAAAGCTAAGGTAACATTGAAGCTATGATGTAATTTTATTGACTTGGGATGAAAATGAAGAGATGAAGAAAAGTACGGAAACTTTCCTTTATAGACACACGAATATTATTGTTGTTGTTGTTCTTGTTTTTCTTGTTTTTGAGATTCTTGGATATGGTTACTCTTGATAAAAAAAAAACCAAATTCTTGTATTTTTGAACGTTGATACAAGGGCAATACTTTTCAAGGTTGGCTAGAAGAATGTTGGGCTGGGCCAACAAGGGGAGAAAGAGAAAAGAGACCGTATAAGGAATATTGGAAAATAAAAATAACAATACAAATAGGAAGGGGTCTATAGGACCTTTTGAATTAAAATTAAAAAAAAATCGGTTCTTTTCAAGTCGATAAACTTATTGATGGCATTACACTGTGCAATACTGTTCCTCTCAGGTACAAATCCGTTAACTTCCCATGGACTGCTACTAAACCTCCAACTAGTATAATTGTTCCATTTATTTGTATTGCAGTACTTCCTATCGATCTTATTAACTGACTTTCTTCTCTTCCAGTTATCTTGGTATAAACAGGACGTGAATATCCGTCATCGGAATGCTTTATTTTTTGACCCTCTAGACACTGAGAATCTAGATCTAATATAGTAAACAACGCAGACCCTACAGGCACTGCTTCGTAGTCATTTTCTTTTGAATGTCTTTCATGAGATTTGTCATCTGGACCTCTAGATTCAGGATAAAGATCGTTAACATCTTCTGGAGTTAAGCCTCCTACACAAACAAGCATGGAACCAATTGGGCACAAAGAATGTCCGACATTTGGAACCTCGATAGGAACCATTCCCTCGTCGTTATTTTCAGTTTTTGCAAAGGCAGAAACACATTCCCATTTTTCTCCATCCAAGTCAAACCACCACATATCACCGTAAACATCATAATAATTTGAACCACCATAAAGAACCAGCGTCTTCTTTGATTCTTTTTCTTCTTTTGGAGGAATAGGCTTGAAAAAATTAGGCTGTATATCCTTTGGAACTATATCAATATTTTCATTCCTATTGTTCATTTCCTTACGTCTGATAAACACAAAACTTTCATTAGCATTTTTTTCGTCTACTGAATCGTTCATCATTTGGTCAACTTTATAGTATGCTGTAGACGAGTTTTTATCAGTTCTAATTGCATTATATTCAATCTCGAATTCATTTTCTAATTTCTTCAAAATATCCTCTTCGGAGTTAATTGTAGTAGGAATCGGAATAGATGGTATACAACTTCCAGCAAAACCTCTTTTTGATGGCCATTTTCCTGGTGCATTATCAATTGGAATCATTGATGCATTTGCAGATTCATCAAATTTGTAATAACCAATCTTACCTCTTGCTACCACAGGAATTTCTATTTTCCACATATCATCCATTGCTTCATATTTATCACCATTAGATAACGTATATCCACCAAATACTAAAACTGAAAAGGCATTTGATTGGTGTGTGTTGTTTGATAGTGATTTTGTTGGGTCTAACATTGGCGATGCAGAACGTAAAATCGAAGTAGAATCACTCCCTACTGAACTTACTCCACTTATTGAAGTTTGGTCATTCGACTCGTCGTAACTGGTATTTGTAACATCGCCAGTCTTAGTACTTGGTTCTATAACTACTTCATTTCCTAGAGATACTTGGCAATGTCCAAATCTTGCCGATAATGATGTACATGAAATAAAACTATAAGGTTGAGACATGACATCTATCTTAGTAAATCGAAAAGTTAATGTATCCAGAATGTAGCCTGCATTGTTTATGAAAACACATTTTTCTAAATGATATTTACCATTTTCATCTACATGTGTCTTTGTCTTAAGTTCGAACCCACCATAGTAAAATATATAACGGTCCGTTAATTTTGAACCTTGCATGCATAATAATGGTGGAGGGATGTTACCTGACAATTGAGGTCTTGTCAACCTACTGGACGTATATGATAATACATATAGATGAGGGTTGTCTACCATTGCTGGATTATTTATTACATCTGGGATTATAGGTGGGGGTAAGTTGTCAACACCTTTAACTGTAAAATCATTAAGATTTGGAGCTTCTTCATCGTACCTATAACAAGCCATTAATCCACCTAAAATATACATTTGGTCGTCACATTCTACAGAACAATGATGAACCAATGAAGGTAATTTCACTTCCGAAAATATGCCAGGAATCATTGTGCTCCCAGCATAGGTATCATATTGCTCTGGAATGTAACCAGTTCCCTCAATAAATAATGGGCATGTTTTGTACGCATATGGATCTAATGTAGATTTCCCCTTGCGGAATAATAAATATCTGTAGTCCTTCCTTAACGATGGCATCCATAAATGATGATCTTTCATAACGTTCAAATCTTTCGGATCCACAGTTAGAAGTCCTTGGTAATAGTTATAATACGTTGTTAATGCAGCGGAATTGAACAGTTCTTCGCATCCTAGATCACTAGACTCGGTATCATTTTCATTGTTGTTATCCATGTCATAATTATCCTTGTTGACATCCTTGAACTGCAAGTCAACGTTATTCATTAAAGTATATGAATTAATTTGATCTTCTGATAAACCAAAGATATTTTCAGTAGAAAAAAAACTAGTTAGCTTTTCGTTGCTTTGAGTAGCAGCAGAATCAGAACTACTCACAATACTACTATTCCTATAATAATTATAAGCAACAGATTTCCTGGTCTCGTAATATCTTTTCAACAATGATTCATTGGTTAGGCTTATCCTTTTCTTCGTTAACTTATCAGAATTATTATGTAAAGCTGAAAAATAATTTGACATATAAGGAATATGCCTCCTTTTTTTCGAATTTTGTATATCGATAACAAGCTCGTTATCCAACGTATGAGTAATCTCACTTACACCACTTTGTGTAATATCGTAACCTTCATCGACATCAAGAGGAGATAAATCCAATTTTCGTTCCTCCATAGCTATTTTTTTTTTGAGTAGATAATAAAGGATTCTCTAAACCTAAATATTTTTTTTTTGAAATAATTAATTATATATAATACGAATCTAACACAATCTTTAACCGATTAGTAGCACCTTTATATCGAATTTATAACCCATTTATTATTTCATCTAGAAGACTAAATATTAGTTTATAATATAATATAGTTTAAATGCAATCCATCGTTCTTTTTAACCTCTAATAATTTTTACCGAGGTTTAAAGTTCGTCCGCAGAATAAACCAGCTACATTGAGAAGGGAAATGACAAGACAGCTTCAATATACAAGAGAGATTAGGAGGGTTCGAAGTTTGATGGATTGGTTAGTGATAAGGACATTAGATAGTGTTCATAGTATAGCAATTACTTGTTGAGTAGCTTTAATCTATTGTATGCTTACATGTATATAGTTATTTTAAAGATATATTTATTTGTAGAAGTGAAGGAACTAAACAAGAAACAAAAGAAAACAAAAGAAAAAGGAAAAGGAAAAGGAAAAATAGATATAAAAGGTCATTCTTTGAAAGGGGAAAAAATGGCATTAAGGTTTGTTTTTTTTTTTAAAAGAAAAAAAATGGGACGTATATAATTGACATATGAAGCTAAATCAATCAGCTTTTCTTGAAGTTAATTCATCTGAAGAAGTTTCTTCCTTAATTGCTGTACTTGATCCAGTTGATTTATCACTAGTTTCCTTCTTTTCTGAAGTTGTGGAAACTTTCTTGGTTTTCTTAGGGGCAACGTAGTCTTCACCTTGTAATGCCATAGTACCTTTCAAAACTATTGAAGCTGACATCATTAATAAACCAAGTAGTATTAGACCACCTGAAATGTATTGGACAATTGGAGGCAATGAATCAACAAATTCAGCAATATTTTTGATATATTCATTTTCTTCAGTTTCGATAATTGGTTCAGTCTTCTTCTTGGATCCCAATGGGACGGCTTTACCGCCTGACTTAACTTCTTCTTCTTCCAATTCTCTCTTCAACAAGAATGTCTTGTTACCAATTAATTCAGCTTCGTCGACAGATTTACCAAGGTAGATGTTATCAATCATTAGATCAACAGAACCACTCCAGAACTCGAATAAAATAGAACCAATTTCGTTTTCTAATTTGGCAGGTGTTTTATCTTCGTAATGGTTTGGATTCTCAATTAATTCTGGCTCCCATTCACCTTGGTAGTTTGGATTTTCCTTTGTTGGTTGTTTCCATTGGCCTTGGTAATCAGGGTTTAGAATATACTCTGGTTTCCACTTACCGCAACCCTTTTCAGTCTTACATAATGGGTTTGGAATAAATGGAGCAACCCATTCACCATCAGTTTCCTCGTCCCACCAAGATGGTTGGCTACGGTCAGGTTCGGAGATGAATTCAGGAATAGATTCATCCCAAGATTCCGGCTTTTTAGCATCTGGATCAGGAATATATTCACGATCATCCCAGTCCTCAGGTTTCTTTTGATCGTAGTCAGGGATCACTTTACGGTCATCCCAATCCTTTGGTTTAACAGATTTAGGATTTGGGATCATTTTATGTCCACCGAATGGTGGAACAAATTCACCTTCCTTTAATAAATTTGAAGCAATCACTACATTACCATCGTATCTGATTTCAAAATCATTAGTTTTACCATCGATTATTAAAGTATACAAATGGGATAATGTATCATCACCAAGTTTAGAGACTGGGGCATGTTCTAAGAACATCAAATCATTCTTCTTACTGATTGGATTTGTTTTTCTAATACCAAAATGAATTTCATCTGTGTATGGCTGACAATTATCTGGACCAAACAACAATTCAAGTACTGCAGAATCATCATCACCGTAATTTTTGAAATCAGACTCATTAACTTTTGGCAATAATTTTATAAAAGCACCACCACATTCGAATTGGGTTTGGACTTTTAATTCGTATTGTAAAACAAGTTTATCCTTAGCTTCAAATCTTATTGGACTGTCTAATTGACGACCAATCATTGCAAAACTACCTTCATGGTATGTCACCAAACCTTTATCACCTGACAACCCAGGAACCAAATAAGCTTCTTCAATCCCCCATTTTACAGGATATTGTAACCTTTCTTCACCACTTGATCTATCAATAACTTGTCTTTCAGAGGTGATCCAGGTCTTTGTGAACTCTTCATTAGTATCATAATTTTGGAAATGTTCCCAAAAGGAATTCTTGGAAATTTCAATATCTTTCAAAGATAACTCAGGATGTTCAATATTGTATTCAACGTCCTTGGAGGCAATTGCCACCTTGGATAAAAACGCAATAGCTAGCAAATAAATACTCTTGCGACTCAACATTGTAACTACGATTGTACTCTTATACCTAGTCAAAATACCTCTATTATATCCTAATAAACTCTATGAGCAACTAGTTAATCCTAAACAAAATTCTAAAGTAAACCTTTTATTTGATATATATGGAACAAACACTAGAAATACCAACAATGCCAAACTAAACAAAAAAATCAAAGTTTGAGATTCAATTAATAGTTTAACCAAACAGTACCTATTCTGATCCTTATAGAGCACTTACTTATCTACCTTTGAACACGTCAATTGATATTCTTATAAGTTGCATTTTAAAAGTGGTTTCGTTTTCATTTTTCAATTTTGTAGGGCTTGCCAAGTGCATCATCATAATGTGACCTTTAATAATAAGTAATGATATAAATATTACCATTGGCGATAAAATATCAATCTTTCTGTCAGTGAGTGAGATTGATGATAATTTAAATATGCATTAATGCTTTTAAGTTTCTCTAAGTTCCATTTATAAATTAAACTAATATTATTACTATACAAAATTTTCTATTATATATGTAGAGGGAGTAATATTTTTATTATTACCTATTGTTCGATGTCATCGTTCAACAATTCGAACATATTTTTAGTTTTTGGTACAGACTTATCGTTATCTTCTTCGAGATCATCGTATCCTTCTACATCACCATATGTCTCAACATGTTCTTCCATTGCTTCAACAGTACTGGTGTTATCTTCTGTCTTTTCTTTAGTGGTGGCCTTAACTTCATCATTATTGATTGTTAGCTCATTTCTAATAAGTTGGTTCGTTGTTTCCCATCCAGCTTTTCTAGCTTTCTGGACATATTTTGCACGAGCTACTGATTTAGCAATTTTACCATCTAATCTATTTGTAATATTTAGTGCTCTTTGCAACTTTTGTTTCTCTATCAAAGTCTCAGTTTCAGTTAATTTTAGTTCTAATGCCTTCTTATTAATACCACTTTTCTTAGCTCTTTTCTTACCAATCTTAGCATCTAGTAATGCTTCATTTTTAGCAGCAGTTCTTACTAAAATATTTGTTAAATCAGTCTTTTGAGCTCTTGGCAATTCAGAAAGCGAATTAGCCTCAGGTTCAAAAACTTCTGTTAATCCCCTTCTAGCAGCCCTGGAATTCTTTGTCACTTTTCTAGCCATGAGTATCTATACTTCTTTCTCCCCTTTCATAACTTTTATGATTAAATCTGAAATATACCTCTATCTCATCTCATCTCATCTCATCTCATCTTCTTAAGTACTAAAATTTTTTTTTGTTAATGCACTGCGGAATAATTCCTACAATGTTCATACTAACCATGCATATAGTGAAAAGTGAAGAAAGGTGATTGAGATTACCTAGATAATCGATATATATATATATATATATTTAAGTCATTGATACCATTGAGTTGATAAAATTGTAGTATACTTATTGTTGCGATTATTTTATTAATTATTATTATATGCTTATAAAGTGATTAATGCTAATGGAAGTATATTATTATATATTACAATGAAACTTTTATTGGTTTTTTAAAAAAAATCATTAAATCATACATGATATGAATACATACCACAACTGAATTGTGGTAATACTTTTTAAGTATATGCTTAGAATTTTCTTCTTTGTCTTGTTAAGTTTGGACTACAATTTGTAGCCTAATTCGTTCTTATTATTCGGAGTTAGAAGAATCTTAATTGTATGGCCTTTATCACGCAGTAATCTTAACATAGCACCTTCAATTCCTTCTTCAATAGGTACTTTACCTGTGATTAAATGTCTTGCAGTATTGATGTCAATACGTTTACTTTTGAACGCTTCAATGACTTCTTCGAAATCTTCACTAGTATAACACATAGAGCCTGTATATCTTTTTTCTTGTGATGTGATATCCATAGGGAAAAATTCAACAGGTTTATGGCCCCAAACTGCGATATTAACTGCAGTTCCTCTAAATGTGCAACATTCAATTGCTACCTTTAGAGTAGCGGGTATACCGGAACAATCGAATGTGTAATCGAAACCTTGGCTGCCTGGTGCCATTTCAGTCAAAGTTTTGATTGAATTGTCTAGAGACATATTGGAAGGGTCGAATACTCTCGCACCCATTTTCTCAGCTAATTCTCTTCTAATTAGAGCTGGTTCAGAAACCACAATATCTTCACAACCGAATCCCTTCAATGCCAATATCGTGCCTAAGCCAATTGGACCACCGCCCACAATTAGCACTGAACCTCCTTGCTTATAATGTGAAACTTTAACTGCATGCCAGCAAACTGAAATTGGTTGAATTAAGGAAGCTACATCTAAAGGCATGTGATGCGGAATCTTATGACAGTGATGTTCATTGATAACCATTTTTTCGGCGAATCCACCACCTTCAACACCTGCGCCAGTTAAACCTAAATATTTGCAAATATTAGGCATCCCATTTCTACAAGCTTCGCACATTGGTGTATCTCTATTTGGAGCATTTGGCCAACGATATCTATCTATACATGTAGCTGTTGGTTCAACGACAACATGGTCACCTATTTTGAATTTTTTACAACCTGGACCGACGCTAGAGATAATTCCTGATATTTCGTGACCCATGGCTTGTGGTAAATTATTATTACTAATATGATTTACGCATCCATCCTCTGGGAAGAAAATTGCACCATCTGTATATTCTTTTAAATCTGTCCCACAAATACCACACCAAGAGATGTCAATAATTACATCATCTTCGGCATGAATATGGGGTTCTTTTAATGAGTAAGTGAATCTTACATTACCTTTACCAAAATAAGCTAAAGCTCTCATTCTAAAATTTTTGTGTATTTGTTTGAAATTAATTTAAGTATAATATTAATAGTTGATTATTTATTTGATTTGTTATGCTGATTTTACTAATTCTATAATATAAGTTTATCTTGAATATGAAGATTTAAATTATTTGAACGAAAGGAAAAAGAGAGGTAATAAATTCAATATTCACTCGATTAATATATGACCAAATTTCTTGATGTTTAAACAAATTGTAAACACCATCTGAAATATATTGTCATGTTAAAAATTACATCATTTTCCAAAATCACGTAATTATAAAGAATAAGTTGGATATATTATATCGGAAGGAGGGGCTAATCAGTAATAGGTCTAAAAATTAACAGTAAACCATTAAGCTAGATATTAAAAACCAGTTAACATCTACTACAAGCCTTCATCACTTTCAATATGAATCCAATACTAACGCCATTACGTTTTATCATAACAGAGGGTACAAACCTCACATTTTCTCTGTCGGTGATTAATTAATTAATCGATACAATAAGAATAGTAATAATTATAGAACGTATTGGTTGGTATCTTGTCACCAATAGAGACGTACCTACAGTAAAAAAATAAAGTGATTGCAATAGCATTGAAAGTTGAAATGCATAGAGCATTATTTAATACTCCCTTCTCCCCCACACTTTTCCCCCTTGCTTGGATTATGGTTTTCAATGGGTATTCTCCAGGTTGAATATGCTTCCTTCTTAAAACGTAACATTTCGAAGAGAACTTTTGAGGGGACAGGGCTGAAAAAGGAAATTTGAAGAAAAACTAATGAATAATTCGAATCGTAATAATGAAACAATCGTCAGGTTTAGAGGATAATTGAAACCATTTGGTGCATCTATCTAATATTTACTTATAACAATTGTCTTGATGTTGTAGTTATTGTTTTTGGTTTGTAGGGAAGGAAGATGGTGAAACTTTGGTAACGTTTGGTTGGACCTTTAAAAATTTAAGAAATATATTAATTTGTGGGGGTGGGGTGAAAGCATCTTGTTTTCTTAATCGATCTATATGCATCTGTATATTTATGTATTTGTAGTAAATAAGCTAAGCTTAGGTCCGTACTGCAAACCCTCTTTTTTTGGTTTATTGCTGGGTTTAGAATGGGGAATAAGGCTTTATATTGTGGAAGTAAGATAATAAATGATCTGTTAAGTTTTTTAGTTTCTGAAGAGGTTCCTGTTGATTCTATGGAACGGATGGGATTATAAAAGGTATCATTAGGAAACTTTAAAAGAAGAATGTGATTTAATTAATTGGTTATTGTCTCCAGGTGTAGCGGAACAATGGTATTGATCATATCAATCAACCATTATATATTGTAACTAGGAAAAATGCAAAAAGCATATTTTAGACACTTGGTATATTCTTGTTAGTTATCTAGCTGGATTCCACAAGAATATGGGATTGGGAAAGAAATTAAGTTTGTTAACCTGAAAGCAGAACAAAATTGAAAAATTCATATATCTTAGCAATAGTGAATTTCTGACTACTGAAAAGACTAAGCTTTTAATATGTTGATATTTTGATATTTCAAATTACAAATTATATATCATCTAAAGTAATTATCTTGAATGAAATGGTAATACCTTGTGCCATTTTAATTCTCTACATTTTATCAAGACCCCATTATCATCCTAATAAAAATATTCATACTAAGGAAAAAGGCTCCAGTCCTATTTCTTTTAAAGATCTTTCTGATACTTATCTAGTCCCCCAAGGTTTAAATATAATACCTTACTCGATCAATTTGAGAGTATCCTTGTCATACCTCATGATTAGTTCATTACATAACTAGGATAAGCTTGTTATTTGTATTATAAGTGGTATCGTTTAATTTAAAAATATTATTGGGCCTCGAAAAAAGTGATTTTTGGCTGAAACCTTTATACAGATTAATTTTCCGACCCGAGGCTCATTGATAAAGATACATTAAAATGAAAATTGATCATTTAAAAAACAATTCCCGTTATAAAAGGTTCAGAGTTCTTATAGTTTTAAGTAAAACAGATTGTTTTGTGTTATTTCAAGGTCTGTAAAGCTCGGTTCACGTTATATATAGATTTATAATGGTATCAAGGGTAGTCAAAAAGCCTAGACCTTCTAGGGTGTGTGTCCAATGTAAAAAGAGGAAATTAAGATGTGATAGACAACGACCAACTTGTACAAGATGTAAAAGATCATCAACGATTTGTACGTATGACCATGATTCAGAACTATCTGTTCCCCCTGAAGAGTCTTCTAAGACTGAGTTTATTATTCAGGAGAATGAAAGTACTTCTTTTGAACCTATTTTTTCGACAACAACAACTAATACTACTAATAGTACTGTAAGAAGTAGATCACAAGATACTCCTTCTTCTTCCATTCCTTGTATCAGTAAAGAAAACATTTATGAGGAAAGAATTTATGAACCTGAAACTACTTTAAAACAAACTCCAGATGTGATAAATAATTGTACTGAAGGTGGATTTAGCTCATATTGCCCGCCTGTTCCGATTGTAACGCCTGATAGTATAATGGCTAGTGCCATAACACCGGCAACTACAGCTGTAAATTCTAGCATTAATGGTTTGTCAAACAATATGCATTCTCCTGAAGAGGTGACGAAATCAAAATTGTATGACATTCCATTGACCGTACCATCATTTATGAAAGATATGAAGATGGAGTTATGGGAAGCAAAGGATACTATTGTAGAATATGGATGTTTAAGGTTTGTTGAGCCAGCCTTTTCGACACATACTTTTATACAATTGGATAAGTATGCTAGAGCATTATGTGGTAGCATTCATGGAATTTCTCTGATCAAACTACAAGAAAGGCTTGAAGAAAATATCGCGAAAGAAGATGGAATGATGGTAAATAATAATCCAGATAATATGGATATTCTCAGTCCATTACCATTTATCGATAAAGCTATTGTTAAATTTTTGGAAATTGATAGCCATCAAAGTCAAAATGCGCCACCGTTGAACTTCTTTTATAATTTCTATTCTATTGATGATGACGCAGATTCAAAGGCTAATACTTCTTTGTCTATTTTAATCAGTGAAATTGAGGTTATGCTGGTTGATAAGAAAGATATTGACATATTGCTGAGAAAATTCTATGAGGATATATACCCATTTTATCCTTTTATGGAGATTTCAATTTTTGAAAAGGAATTAAATTCAATTCTAGTTCTAAACTCCCAGAAGAGATATCATATCAAGATAAATGATAAAGATAAGAGGTCACAGTTACAGACATTGGCATTGTTTTTGGTTATTCTTTCGATTGCTCTAAGAAGTTGTCATTTTGAACCTAATGAAATCACGCTTTCTGAATCACTTGCAAATGATTTTGCTAGACAACATTCATTATTAGCTCATAAATTGTTATACTTATTGAATGTATTTAGGTATACTAATGAGTATAATTTTATGTGCATGTTATATATTTATATTGGTGATCATTTAAATCCGGAAAATTTGGAAATTCATGTTTCACAAACTGGATTGTTAACATTAAATTGTTTGGAACAATATGCAATTACATTGGGTTTAAATAGAGAACCAGCAAAATATGAGAGGTTGTTTGAAGTTGGTAAAGAGCAACCAGCTAAGTTGGTGAACTTAAGAAAAAAATTATGGGTTGGGGTTCAAATGTTAAAATTCCAAGTCGCTATCTCAGACGGTGAAATCAAAAAGCAAGATGTTGAGTATTGTGAAGGGTTTCTAAATTATAGCAACTTAAGAGTGAATTTAGCTGAAAATAATTTGGAGACATCATCGAAATTCGACAACACTTTAAACGTCATAATTGAGAAAAAATATCAATTATTTTTAGTTATGTCTCGGATGTTAACAAGTTTCTCTATCGCTGGTGAAGTTAATTTGCTTCCATTATTGGAAAAGGTTAAAAGAACACAAGAATTTGTAAATGAGTCATTTCCGATGACTTCCTTATTAAATGGTTTGGGATCTCAGGAAGATAACAACAAAGTTGAGCAATTTTGGAGGGGTTCTGTTATCAATTATGGATTTATTGAAAAGAGTGAAACTTTCAGAGTTAATATTATATCGACATTGGGTCTCATGAATGTTTATACCATATTGTTTATTTATTTCGAGAAAAAATCAAAATTTGATCCGGAATCTAATCAAAAATATTATGAATATTTAGTTATTGAATACTTCAAGAATTATTGTAAGGTAACCAAAATTGTTATTGAATATTTGCAAGGGAAATACCTGGCTGAAATACCCGAGAAATTTGGATCCTCTTTTGACAAATTGATATGCTTTACTATTTTTAGAATTTGGACACAACAAACTTCACTACTACTAAGATTATCTCACCTAAAGGAATTAAAGAAAAATGATGGCGATTTGGAATATGTAGAGTTGATTTCTAATATTTACAAAGAAGTTACAGAGCAGATGAGATGTTTACTTGAGCTTGGAGCTGAAAAATATGAAGAAAAGTACTATTGCTTCTATCAAACAAATTGTATGTTCAAGTACATTTTATACCTTTCTGACTCAGGTTCTTTTATTCCTGCATTGAACAAGTATTGGAAGAGAGAGCCAGGAAATACCGAAATTGAGAAAAGAATTCACAACAAGATATATATGAAATGGGGTCTACATATCAAAGATTCTGAATTCATCTTACAAAACCTGAGAAACCCAAATACGTTATCGGTTTTAACTAAGCCATTACTAATTAAAATTCAAGATTTATTTAATGACACATTTAACAAAATAGATATCCAAGAGAAGGTTTCACCAAATACTGTATTTCAATCTAATTATGATGAACAAATTTTAAATCAATTTTTAGAAAACAATTCGGCATGGTTCACCAAAATAATAGATGGGCATTTAGGAGAGCTTCCAAGTTTTGCAACTCTTTAAATTAGTCCTGTTAGGATGTTATAATCGTTTGATAATGTGTGTTGTTCAAAGCTAAATTATTTATAAATTTCTAATTTAAAAGAGGTTTTGAATATTATGAATTTTTTTTTATTTTATTACCCTCAACGTTTAGTTTTTTCTCTATTGTAAATGAAACATTAAAATTTAACCGTTTCTTTCTTAAATATCCTTAGATAAAAATGGGATATAATAGGGGAACCTAGAAATTATCGGTAAATTTTTTTATATATAATGGTTAAATAATAGTCGTATTATATAAGCAATCGCTACCAACCTGAATGCTGTTAGTCACATTTTAATATTTCTGAACTATAATTGTAGGTAATTTTTTTATTTTGATTATAAATTATATCTTAGCTGTTGACAGTAAAAAGGAAATTTGGGGAAGTTACGATTTCTAAGATATTTTTATAACATCGAATGACGTGAATGCTGATGATTGGAATAACCACTTTCCCATATGCTCAATTTATTTATACCCACTTTGATAATCTAAGGAGGAATTTTCTTGTTGTTTTCTTCCCGTTATTCTATTTCTAAGAAGTAATACAAATAGGCAGTCCCTACCATTTATTTTTTATCCATGCTTCCATATAGGTACTAATCGGTATTTATTTCCCTTTTTCGGCAATTGACTAAATATGGAATGCCAATCCATTGTTGAACGTTATAAATACAAAACTCAGAAAAGATATATTTTATTTATACTAAGAACTACATCATTACAATAATCAAGAATTCCCTTGTCATTTCCAAATAGGCGGCCAATATATGATTAATTTAGTTATTTCCAAGTAATTGCAAAACCCACCGGGTTGGATTTCCTAGGAGACATCTTTAGAGCTTTTTTAACTAGTCTGAAGGGAATAAGCTAATATAAATTGTAAAAACTTAATTAAAAACCTTTTTAACTCTACATTTATAATTTAATTTAATTAATATTTATATTTACTTCAAGATATTTAAGATTTCTTAATGAAATTAAATTGGTAAAAATGGTACTAATGTATAACTAAATGTAAATACTTTGTCAAATGGAAAGCAGTCTATAATAATATCTTGAAACGCGAAAAGGCAACATTAATAGATAGAAAATTAATTTTTTTTTGTATTGATCCTTTAAAATCTCTTGTATATCAACTTCATATCCCAATATGAACATGACTGTGATTCGGTATCTCCAATTTGACACCTCACTGAAATATTTTTAAGATTAGCACCGAATATGAATGAGACAAGAATTTCGATTAAAATAAGTTAAGATATTAGTGCTTCTAGACGGACGAAAAACACAATATTTTGAGTCGTAGTGCAAGTTCTCATGATTAAACAGGATAGTTTTAAGTTAAATTTCATTGGAATTATTTCTATTTTCATAACTTCAAAAATAAGCAAAGACTTCCAAAGAGTTAACAATGCTTTTTGTCATAAGATTCAGGAATTAAAAATTATTTCCTTTTGTATTCAATGTTTGGAGGTTATTTGCTATGATGATTGCCTTGTTGCCATCTTGCCACATCTTAGAAAAACTCAAAATTAAATTAAATCAAACTAAATAAACAGTCTTACATTATTATATTATGAGGAATTGCCAATTTTACTAGCACTGAGTCCTAAGAAAAAGAAAGAAAACTATTTGACTTGTAGAAAAAAAGAATTCTTTAGATTACTATCCCCGCAAGACGATATTCGTTTTCGAACTCTTCTTCGGAGAAATACGTTTGACCCCGGAAAATTGTTTGCCGTTTTTGTATGACATAGAAGAGTTTTCACTAAATTATTTAAAAAAGTAATTAGATATGCTTGAAATTTGTAAGTTTATATCTGGCAACACAAGATACCTCAAAACCCGAAGAGGAAAACTAGCTGTTGTAATGTTTATCGTAAAATCCTAAGTTTGGAAACCTTTCTTTTTCCATTCTGTCAAAATAGAGTAACTAAAAGAATGGAGGTGAAGTTAGGTTAGATTAGGTCTTAACCCCAGATAAAATAAACGAGTAAACAATTCAGGAAGAGCAAAGTATGTAGTAAAAGAAAAGAAAAGAAAAGAATCAAGATATCTAATCTAATATTTTACCGGTCATACTCAATTAAATTATATGAGGTTGTTTGTGGAACAAATCTACAAGAAATACAATAAGATCCCTGATATCTCAAAGTCCATCTTCAATTGGTTGGAACAACTGCATGAATTGGAAGATATTTCTCTTATTAGGTTATCCATTTTTATGTCTAATTGACCTGTTATTATGAAATCAATTAAAAAAAAATTAGATGTAGTCAGGTTTAAAAAGTGAAATAAAACTCTTGAACTCTTGAAAACTAGGTTGAAAACGAATTAATTGAGAATAAATGGCCCGGAATATTGTAAAGGAATTTTCATCAACATTTAGTAATGATATTGTAATAATAATAGTAAGCTGATGGGAAAAAAATAGGTATGCCTGTGTGATTGAGGTACCTATGGTGATGAAACAGAGTAAAACTTGTATCGTAATTCTCTATTTTTAATTCATAATTTTTCTAGAAAATAATGAGGGCGATGCCAACAATAATTACTAATTTTAACAGATCTTTCATAGTGATAATTATTGAAACGAAATTATTTTTGCTCTTCATTTTTTTCAAGATTAATCTGTAATTTATCTTGAATTCTTTTCTTTTTCTTTCTATTTTCATATACATCATTTCCCAAACTGCGGAGAAACATGGATGAAATTGCGGAGAAACCCACATTTATACATAAAATAAATTTTTTCTCTGTGAAATATCTTACCTTGCAAAGATATCATGGGCTTTCGGATAAAGAAATCCGTTCCTAGTAACTTTAACGTCATCGAAAATAATTCATTAAGAAAACCTAAAAAGTGTTTTTTATTGTTGTTCCAAGTTGAATATACCTGTTGTCCTTTTCTAAAGATGCAGACAGATACAATCATAAGCACAAATTAGAAGCTTTTGAAAAAATTTAATTAAAACCAGGAAATGATTAAAGAGAAGGACCAACAAAGGAACAACAACGCTAGTGTTAAATTTGTATTATAGTTAGTTACATTCAAGTTCATTTCTGTAGTTACAAAATTAATACGTAGTGGAAAAATAGAAAATAAATTTTTCTTCTCTCTTCAATGGATTACGCATATGTTTCATTGTTTACAAATTTCTTTTTTGAGATCACGAAAAGTGAAAGAAAAAACTAAACAGATACAAACTCTAAAATTATAAATTATTAAAACTTCCAATACTGGCAGGAAATTATGAACTGACACTGAATTGATGAATATTTTAGTGAAAAAATACTGTATAATGAGTATTTATGAAAAATTTTCCTTTTACCATGTAGTTAATTTAACCTAAATACATCAACGACAGTAGAACTAAAAAGTAAAATAAAATATGCAACCAGACATGCAGTTAGCCGGTATTTTTTTACAACCAGGCATAGAGTTAGCCGGTATTTTTTTTTGCAACCACAAACCTCTTCTTTTGTAGTGAAATTATACACGGAAAAGTGGGAGATTGGAAGATACAGCGATAAAAGGTAGATTTTCCGACTAAAGAATATTTATTTTGTCAATCAGTAGCTTAAAAAAGTTATTTTTCTAAAGAAACAAAGGAGGATTAGGAGGGAAAAACAATGAAAGAGAAAATTACTGGAAAATTATTGATTGGTAGCAATTCTTCTAAGGAGAAATTGGTTGTAAAAATATATGAAACTTACTACCTTGTATATTCTGTAACCTCTAGGAATTACAGCCAAAGTTAATCCTTAAACCAGCGGATAATAGTGTTCCAAATAACTTATATTAGTATTTCCTAACAGTATTTTCCCATAAAGAAGTAAAATCTTGCACCCCCGGATAAATAGTTCTTTGATTAGCATTAGAACATTACCGGGAACAAAATGAAATAAAAAAAATATTGAGACGTAGTTGGAATCAATATCAGCTGAATAAGGAATAAGTTTGTAAAGAAAGCAAAGCTTTTCGATGTTCTTGTTAGTTAGTGTTTCGATTGTAGGAATGTATTGCGGGACACAAAGCACTTGTGTATTAATTATTTCATAAAACTAAAACAAACAAGTAAAATTTGATGTTAGGTTTTAATTCCGAGACAATCCACGCAGCAAAGGCGACTAGTCTGCAAAGATTGATCCAGTTTTGTTTTCTTCTTCTTTTCATTGTGTGTAGTATATTGTCTTATTGTTACTTCATCTAATATTAAGTTTTTGCGGGTGAGTGGAGAGAGTTTTATTGCAGAATATACGTTTCCATATAATCCGAAGCAGTATTTTCTTTGTACGTGTCCATACTTACAATAATCCCCCCACATCTGATACAGTAATCAATGAGAACAACACCATAGTCTAATCTTTTTTTGTTATAAATTTTATCCTATAATTAATCCGTATAAACGAAAACTATATAGTATTCTAGCTAATAAGAATCTTAAGTCAATTACTAGAGGAATCGATGTGGTAAATTAAAATGAGCTTTTCAACTTCCTCTTTAGGTCATTGCAATTTACTTTTTTTGCTTGATAGTTGCATGTATCGTCAATTTTCGTATTTCAACCATTATTTTGATATTACTGATTGTCAAGTAAGAATATTGTAGTAGAATGGAAAAGAACAGGAATAAGTAAAAATAAGAAAAAAAAAAGTAAATGGTGGAGGGGAAATCACATAACCGACAATTAACCGAATCTTTTTCATGACAGCAGTTACCAGTTTCCTGACCAATATTAAAAAACAATTGTACTAGAATGAGGACAAGGCATCCACAACAAACAATATCAAATAGGTTTAATATCCAGTAGAGAGCACTGACAGTCAGCAATAATACATCATCAGTTGGAAAAAAATAAAAATAAAAACAAAATCATGTCAAAAATAGAATATTTCTCTTATTCGTTTCTTCATTTCAAACAAAGATATTCTATGATAACGTAAAACTCAAGGCTAAAACGGAAAAAGAAAAAGCCAAAATATAATGAACGATGGATGAATACCGAGAGGACAGGCATCCGCACAGTAAAACCTCTAGCAGTGGGGCCTTGTAAAGAGAAGTCAAACTAATATGCCCATCGCCGTTCTCTTTCCCGAAACTGATATCCAACTAATTCTTATTACGATACAGCGAATTTTAACTTCCACGCACTAAACTCTGCATAACATAAGAAATTTTCAGATATCTTCTTTTTTTCACGATCAATCTGAAAGAAAAACATCAATAGAACAAATATCATCATCGTTGCCAAATTGTGGGTTAGACGGTTGTCTTTAAAGTTCACTAGTCCAGCATTAATTGCAGTTGTAGCATGGTGTGGTTCTTGCTGCTGCTACTGCTACTGCTACTAATACTCCAGATATTTGTCAACAGTAGCTCTTTTTGAATTCTCTTTCTGCTGTAATTGTTGCTGAAACGAAAATGAAAACGAATTCGAAAACAAAAACAAAAACAAAGGAATTAAAATTTTCATTGTGAATTTCAACTTATCTGCCTTCCTTTATTCTTGGGGTCTTATCCTATGTCAATATTAGTGCTAAAGTAACAATGGGGTTGTTTGGTTAGAACCTACTTCTGAATAATGTTAGTAAAAAAAAGAAAAAAAAATAAAATTAATACTAAAATTGCTGTTGTTATTGTTTGTTTGCTGCTATTCCCCCCAGTTCTGTCAAAGATCCATTCCCAACAGAATAATTACAACAACACTTTCCAATTTAATATTATCTTTTTTTTTGGGTATTCAATACCTGTTTTTGCTGTGCTGTTTCTCTGTAATTCTGGTTTCTGGCATTTTTCGGATGGTTGTTTAACCGTAATGGGTGGGTGGGTTAGATCAAATATCAATATATTTCAATTTTTACAAGTGGGTTGACAATGCGGCGAAGAAAGATACGACGGAAAAAGAATAAACTATTAGCACTTGAACTATGGGGTTAACGACTATACTTACAGAGGAGATCGGGAAAAGAAACTGTTTTATTTCTTTTATTCTTCTGTCGTTAATGCTAAAACTATTGTAAAATATTTTATTTTGATTCATTCGAGTTAACTCTGGTTTTCGAAATTGATGGACTATATCCTATGCATGGGTTTCTTTCTCCACTTTTATTTTCTGTGGGATGTTTATGGTCAATAAGAAATACCAGAGATCGAGTAAAAAGAGGGAAACCACTATAGCTATCACTTACATTAGTAGGGCATCTTTCTCTTTCTAATAGCAATAATAGTAATTGTGAAAGAGATGCAATTGAAGTAATTTATTTTGCAATTTCTTCAAGATCATGGATTTTATTAAACTTTTCTAAATTTTAAAAACATATAAAAGGAATGGTAATTTTATTCAAATTAACAAAATTCAATTTCTAATCCATTCTAATTTTTTCAATTATATTCTATTTTATGTCACAACAAAACATCAAACAAATTTGATATAAAACATTATTATAACTAATAATGTCAAATAGTATTACAGATTCACAAAATATGGCCAATGTCGGTCACTCTGACAACTTGGAACCAATATCCTCTCAAAACTCTACTCCATCAAACAAGATGGGCGGTGATGACATGGATTTGAAAGCTGAAGGACATGAAGAATATATTCAAGAAGTTGGTCCATTAAGTCAATATTTCGGTGTCTTAGCTTTATGTTTAATGGTTGCCTTTGGTGGTTTCATTTTTGGTTGGGATACTGGTACCATTTCAGGTTTCATTGCTCAAAAGGATTTCTTGAGAAGATTGGGTTCCCTTAACGACGAAGGTGTATACTATTTCTCCAAGGTTAGAACTGGTTTAGTTGTTGGTATTTTTAACGTTGGTTGTGCCATCGGTGGTTTAACTTTAGGTGGTACTGGTGATAGATATGGTCGTCGTATTGGTTTAATGATTGTTACTGTTGTCTATATCGTTGGTATCGTTATTCAAATTGCCACCATTAACAAATGGTACCAATACTTCATCGGTAGAATTATTTCTGGTATGGGTGTTGGTGGTATTGCTGTCTTGTCCCCAACTTTGATTTCTGAAACTGCTCCAGCTCATTTAAGAGGTACCGCTGTCGCTTTCTACCAATTAATGATTACTGCAGGTATTTTCTTGGGTTACTGTACTAACTATGGTACCAAAAATTACGACAATTCTGTTCAATGGAGAGTTCCATTAGGTTTAGGTTTTGCTTGGGCTTTGTTCATGCTTGGTGGTATGACTTTGGTCCCAGAATCCCCAAGATATTTAGTTCAAGAAGGTAGAATTGAAGAAGCTAAGAGATCATTAGCTATCTCTAACAAGTGTACTGTTGATTCCCCAGTTGTCATCGGTGAATACGAAAACATTGCTGCTGGTGTTGAAGCTGAAAGATCTGCTGGTTCTGCTACATGGGGTGAATTATTTTCTACAAATGGTAAGATCTTGCAAAGAGTCATTATGGGTGTTATGGTTAACTCACTGCAACAATTGACCGGTGCTAACTATTTCTTCTACTATGGTACTACTGTTTTCCAAGCTGTTGGTTTGGAAGATTCTTTCGAAACATCTATTGTTTTTGGTATTGTTAACTTTGCCTCTACTTTTGTTGCCCTATGGACTGTTGAAAGATTCGGTCGTCGTCGTTGTTTGTTATGGGGCTCTGCTACTATGACATGTTGTTTCGTTATTTATGCTTCTGTCGGTGTTACTAGATTATATCCAGATGGTATTGACAACAAGGAAATCAGTACTTCGACCGGTGCTGGTAACTGTATGATTTGTTTCACCTGTTTCTTCATTTTCTGTTTTGCTACTACCTGGGCTCCAACTGCTTATGTTATTATTTCTGAATCATTCCCATTGAGAATCAGAGCTAAGGCTATTTCTGTTGCTGTTGGTGCTAACTGGTTGTGGGGTTTCTTGATTTCTTTCTTTACACCATTTATTACCGAGGCTATTAACTTCTACTATGGTTACGTTTTCATGGGTTGTTTAGTTTTCTCCTGGTTCTATGTTTTCTTCTTTGTTTGTGAAACTAAAGGTTTATCTTTGGAAGAAGTTAATGAAATGTACGAAGAAGGTGTTTTGCCATGGAAATCTCCAAACTGGGTTCCATCTGGTAGAAGAGATATGGGTTATGACGCTGATGCCGCTTTGCATGATAACAAGCCATGGTACAAGAGATTCATGTAAATTTAATGATAAAGTTCTAATATTAATTTTCCAAATTTAATTTTTTTGTTATGTTAATTTTTAATGTCAATTTTCTTTTTCAAGAATTTTAAGAAACTGATCCTTTACGATAAACTAATAAATTATTCAAAACCTTAATTACAATGATTTTATAGTTTTAACTATTATACATTTTAAAGAGGATTCATAATATCTAATATTTTTAATAAAAATTCTACATATTTTTTAAAGTTTTTTTCTTTCTTGGACTCGATAACAATTTGTAGTTGGATAGTTTTTCTTTGTCTCTGTATTGCTTGTTTTGTAGGTACATACTGTAATTAAGAACACAAATTTCAAATAAAGAAAGTTATTTGTAGATACATTAATTTATATATTTAAGAAGACAGAAGCAATTGAAAGATTGCAACGTAGAGTTCTCATTTTTCTCAAGAATCGTGAGTCGGAGATTACTATCTTAACTAATCTTAGGACAACTTTCAAGACTTATTGATATGTATAAGGAGGACAACAAGCTTATCATATCTCCTATCAATAGAAATAAATATATATGAGGATGTTTTGTTGCAAAACAAAATTGAAATAACCCAAGTCCTTAGATGTTAATAACACTGAGAAAAATCAGAGGTAATAATAACTTTGTTATATGATTTAAAAAATAATTTTTTACTCCCTTTTTTCCACAACAATATATAATTTCACCATATTGAAATACTAATACAATTTCCATCATTCGAAGCCAATTGTGCATTTATTTCGTGCAATTCTGGACCATTAAATTATTTTTTCAGATTTTCCAATTAAGGATGAAGAGAATATAATATGCTGTAATCATGATTCTAAGGTAGATTAACATGGTTCGGTTGAATACCGGAATTGAAATTAAAGTGAATGTTTAAAAAAAGCAACCATGTTTAATGGGACGATGACATATAACAAATTTATCGATGTACCCCAAGCAAACATTCGTAATGAAACTTTATTAGCGTAATTCTATGAAATATTAAGCATTAATTACATTCCGAATTAAGTGAATGGCTAAAATTTGATTTTATTATTTACGATGAAATCTAAGAGTAGTTTCTTAAGCAAGGAAGACGATTTATAGTTTCAAAAATTATTTATTTTTGTAATGTGTTTGTACTATAAAATATTACTGTGGTAAATTAAAAAAGTTAATTACAACGGGTAATAAATTTGCAATAATAATTTCGATTTTAATCGTTGAATTGATCCATAACCCTCTTGCCCTTTATATATAGATAATACTTATTTCTTTCATTTTCTAACATGATGTAGATCATAAAGTAAATTACATACTTACGCTATTATTGGAAATAATTTTGGAAGTTCTAGTCAGTTTATCATGAAATTAGTTAGATATACCAACCTATATAAAAAATCGAATTTATTAATTTAATGGGTCATGAAATTTTTTTTTTCGTTTCCTTTGGTCCAATTCTAATATTTCAATTTTTTAACCTGATTGATAAGTTGTTAGTTTGGTCTAGAGTAGCTTCAATCCTCTAATGGGTTAGTATATTATTATACTATATTCATTTATGAATCTTTCAATTAGAAGCTCCTCAGATATTTTCCAGTTTTGATCAATTTTTGTTGAAAATGGGTCAAAAAAGTATACATTGAGAATTTGAAGTCGGATGATTCCCAAATTCTGTACAAAACTTTATCCTAATTACAGCATATTTTCTTTGAATAAAAATTTTATTCAGTTCATGATGAGTTTATCGTTGTTAAAAGTTTGATTTAGATTGTTGTTCAATGAAGAAATAAATAAATCAAGATGAAGAATAACCATTTGCTTAAGAACTTGGATTTAAATTATTTTGAAATTTAGTTTTTTCATAATACAAACCAGTGTAGTCAAAGTCAAAGTCAAAGTCAAAAGAAATAGTGGAATTAGACAGCTAATTTGTATTTAGAAATTTTTTGAATGGACAAGAATGAACTAAAATTCGATATCAAGATTCTATCTATACTAAATATGTAATGAAAAAAAATCATAGAAGAGCTTAAAAAAACTTTCAAGAATGACAAATTTTTTGAATTTATTTAGGGAATCCAAAGTAAGAAATAATAATGGTCTAATTTTTAATTGAAATATTACACAATTGACTTAACCTGGATTAGTAATTTCTCAAGTAAAATGATTCCATTCTATTCTGAATTCTATTTAAATGTACTAGTTGAATAATTCATGAGATTAAATTCGATTATCAAATTATTTTTCCCATTTGAAACAGTCATAATTTCATTAAATAGGATTGAGGATACGTTTGATAATCTAAACCTCAGTGATGATACTTACAACTTGTTACCAAAATTAGTCGTATTTTGTAAATATTGCAATAAAACAAAAATTCGTTACCCCCTTGCTTTAATGATATCTACAGGATTATTTAAATTAATTTAAGAAAAATAGAACTTAGAGAGAGGAGTCTGACATCATAAAATTTATTACAATTCAATTTTTAAAAATTATGAACTAGATCGAATGGATTTTTATTAAGTTGTCAAAAATTTGTAGTTCTAGAACAACCTATAAAGGTAAATGGATAAGAGCGTTTGAAAAACGTTACCTTAACAAATAATTGGAATTATGAATTAGAAAAGAATCAAATTATATTAAGTAAAAATATTTGATACAAAAATTAACAAATAGAGGCACAGCCTATCCTGCATATATAGTACGTTATCAAATATCTGATAATTATTAATTATCAATATCTTTCCAAAAAAGGAATGTCCTTAGATACCAAATATTAGTAGTTTCTTTTATTGTTCGGAAAAAGTTTAAATTATTGACCCAGATAGATATAATCCGAATAATGCATTAATGCGGAAAAACCCCTCTGAAGATTTTACAGAGATCTGAAATGGGATTTAACAGAAGTATGCGCAGAGAAGGAAAAATTCATGTAGCAATTGAATATAAGGCTATATTTATCACTTAAAATAAAGGGTTTATAATAGATCTCTCAATATATATGATTCAAAAATTTCTGACTGAGATCTATCATAGCTTTGAAGATAATTTTTCAAGTTTACAAATCTCAAATTTAGGAAAAGTTAATGATAAAGGCTACTGAAGTTTAGGTTTCGGAATACTGACTAAACTTGACATACTGATGATCCTATAGGGAATCTTCGACTATACCAGTAGAAAAAAAATACTTCATTTTTACCAATTTGCTCTTTGTAGAAATGTCTAAAAGAATCGTATAGAACATCTTTAGAAGTCTATTTTTTAGTTCAACATATACACTATTCGAACTTAAGCTGCATTTCCATATGTACAACCGCTCCTACGTTCCATTAGGATAGCGAGATAATTTCAGGGTCGTAATATCAATTTTCAATTTTCAATTATTCTTTTTTACTTAGTAATAATGAAGAAGAGTATCTGATACGCAATAGATTGTAAAGATTTCAGGTTAATGGTGCCGGAAAAAAAATACGGATATGGAGAATCAAGTATTGCTCTCTTGTTAGGTAGTGGCAGTATTTTACTAAAAAAAATGTAAAATTAAGATGATATTATTACAATTCACATATTACAATAATACTTGAAAAAAAATTCATCATGCCTAGAGCTAAAATCTGGCCCCTGATAGCCTTCCAAATATTTTTGGTAGGCAGTTTAATTATACTTGTAGAAAATTTACAATAAATGTTGAAAATAGTGGTAACAAGCATAAGAGTTTTGGTCTAAGCACAGTAATTTGAATAAATGTAACTTCTTTAGGAACTATTATCTAATTTGGTATCTCTTTAGATTAAAGGTAGAGACAACAATAGTAATTAATTAAACATGATTTTACCTTTATCATTAGAACAGCCATATCTATCTATGTGGTAATAATGATGCTATTTTCTTTTACCTTCTTGAATTTATTAGAAATGACTTTGAGGGTAGAATATTTTTTAACTCTGGCTTAGTAAAAATAGAATCAACCAATAGTTATTTCCATCGATAAACAAATGATAAGTTATTGCTAATATTATTAAATGTTTTTGAAACTAATTGAACCCTATATAAAGGAAATAAGTTAGCTCCAACTTTGGTTTTAAGAGTTTTTGAGTTCATTAAAGTTATTGATTTCAATATCTTGTGTACTCCAAAGAGTGAAAAAAAGAAGGTATCAGCAAGCTAGAAATAATCACAGTGATTTACAATAACTCAAATAATAAGGTGATTAAAAATTAGGGGCAACATATGCGTTTTAGATTTAATAACCTTTTCTACCTGTTGCTAGGTACATTCCAGGTTACTACTATTGCTGGGATAAGTACTGATCAAGAGAGAGAAAATCAGATAGTTAATTTGGAAAAAGCAGAAAAAAAGGACAGACCAAGTTTTGTACCTTTATCTGATTTTAACTGTTCCTCAAATATATTTAATAGCTCGGTAATTTTTTTGAAATCTACTGACAAAGACATTGTTTCAACATTTGAAATTGAAAATGAAAAGGCTAGATTGGATAACAGGTTAAACCAAGAAATTGAAAATGATCTATCAAACAAAATCATAAAGAGAAATTTTAACCCTAATGATATCGATACGAATGGAATATATTCTATTATTGCTACAGAATGGACTGGAAAGACACCAACTCTGTATTCAACAGGATACCAAGTAACGGAATTTGTTGGTTCTACTAGTATTATTACTTTGTATTACTTGTCTGTTCCTGTAAGAACAACTACAACATTTCTGTATGTTCCAACTGATATTGCAACTACTACTACAACAGTTAAAACAGAAACAAGCGATTTCGGATTGTTCCAATATACTTCATACACTGTTATACTGTTTCATATATTTGTACCATTAAAGCATACAACATCAACTGTTTTACAGCCCGTAACAGATAACTTACAGAATCCCTTTACATCTACAAAGTATTCGTTAACTACTGGCAATGACGGAATAAGAACTTCTTTCACAATATATTTTATCGTGTATTCATCGACTGATGTAACTACATGGGCAACAATTGATTGGACGGGTACTTATGCAAAATCTTTTTCTATTACAACCAGCACCATGGGGACAAATGGGGTATTTACAGTTTTCACAACATATCTCGTTTATACAACTAAACCTCCTGGTATATATGTCACAACAAATTGGACCGGAAAATATACCTCTGTGTATTTTACAAGTGTTTCTTATAGCACATCAGCGCAGCTTTTTGGAAGCACAATTTATACTTCAACTTATTACTTCGTAGCAATTCCTCAGTACCATTCTTCAGCGACAAGAATAACATTTGATGGAAAGGTCTCCAAAACGCAAACATATTCAACCTGGGTTAATGTTTTTACAGATGATTTAAATAATGTGACAACCGAAACCATTTACTATGTCTTAACACCGCCAAGAATATTTTCAACAATTGTGAAGCAGACAAGTAATTTTAGTTCTGACAGCTCTTATACTTATTCGACCTATATTACCAAATCTCTGGGGCCAGATAACGAAGAAACAACAAGAACAACATATTATGTTGCTGTTCCAACGAATTTTCTTTATACCACTACTACTGAAGGTTGGACGGGTTACTTTGAGACAACATATTCAACTAAACTTACTGTAACTATTGGAAGTGATGGTACTAGCACAACTGGTACTATTTATTTTGTACATACAAGTCGTGACCCTGGCACAACTATTACAGTACCATGGAATGATAGTTATACGACATTCTATTCTACTAGCGTTTCTTATAGTACATCAAGTCGTGGCATTGGTGGGAACCTAACATTTACGACCACTTTTTACTATGTTCATATTCCGTCATACTTTGGCGCAACCACAATAATTAGGCCTGGCGAATACACTTTCATCACAACATACTCTGTGAGTAGAACTTCATACACAGACATACAAGGTAACGTAACAACTAAGACAGTTTACTATGTTTATACTCCAGCTCACCAAATTACTACAACGACTTCAATAAGAGGGATTGTCCAGGGTACAGAAGAACAAATATACCTTACTAAAACAACTACTTATACAGATGAAGAGGGCTTTGGAGTTACTGAAACAATATATTTCGTTGGAATACCCGATCAATTATTCTTTACAACTACCACTGGTCCTTGGACTGGTTCATATACAATTACTTATTCTATGGATTTAACTAACGTATTAGGGACAAATGGGATAAGTACTACAAAGACAATATTTTATGTTGAAACACCAATGCCTTGGGGTTATTATACGACAACGGGGTGGACAGGAACGTTCACAACATATCGACAAAGTGGTAGAACATTACGCTTTGGAATTTGGCTAAACTTGTTTGGTTTATGGCTTTTTCCAATATACTATGTTTCGACACCAATTAGAAATGCTGAGTATACCAGTTATACAAGTGCTTGGGAACTGTCATATACTTCAACAGATATTTACACTCAAATAGTTTACAATGATAACGATGAAGAGGTTACAGAAACTGTATACTTCCTTTACACCCCTGCTAAGAAAATTAAGACCACAGTTTTCATCCAAGATACTACTGGTGGTAAGCTAGTTACCACTCTAAGTACTGAGACCAAAAAGGTAGGGGATGACTTTAATTATACATGGCAAGAAATATATTATGTTTTAGTACCAACGGATTCCTCACGTTTGACTTCATTTGTGCCATGGACAGGAAGTTATGTCACAACCAGCTCAATATACACCTCAGTGACAACGGGTACAGATGGCATTCCTTCTTCCTATCAAATTTTTGTAATCGAGACGCCAACTAATAACTATATTAGAAAATACACAGGTTGGAGTGGCACTTTCACATCAACTATTGCAACATCGATGCTAACTACTTTCAAATTAAATTATAATTTCCTTGCCTCATGGACATATACTGTTTACCTCATAGAAACACCATTTCGTAGAAGCACAGAGTCAAAATACAGCTACTGGACAGGGTCAATCTCTACTACTCTTTGGACAAGCATAACAACCTATACAGACTACAATGGAGAAGAAACTACACAAACATTGTATATGGTTTTAACACCCACCAGAAATAGATACAGTACGGTTTATTTCCCACTCTCAGGTACTATTAGTGAGACAACTCTTTCAACGATAGTACAAAAATTTACAGGTACTGATGGATATGAAACAACAGCATCAATATATTATGTTGCTGTAAATACAAAATCAGGTGTCACGACTGTATTTAGAAAATGGACAGGATCATATATCCATGCTTACTCTACCTCGACTTCTTCTGGCTTATTGGGAACCGTAACATATTATTATCTCGAAACACCATCGGATAATAGGGTCACTTCATACATAAATTGGGCAGGATCAATCACATCTACATTTTTGACTACTGTCATAACAAGTATTGGATATTCAAGTACATTTTTTGGTAACTGGGAACTAACTGTTTTTCTAGTTGAAGTACCTACAGCAAATATTTTATCAACAGAGAAAAAGCCTTGGAAGGAACCATTTTCAAATACTTACTCCACCTTAATTACCACCTCCGAGGGAACTGATGGAATATATACAACGGAAACCATTTACTTTGTATTTACACCTTATCGTGTTATGTCAATTACCACTACTACCGGATGGAACAAAAAATATACAGGTACAATGACGACAACTACTATGGTATTTACTGGCACTGATAATGAAGAAACTACAAATATTATCTATATTATAGGGACACCTTACCATATGACCACTAAAACAATAAAGTCGGGATGGTCATCAAACTTGACGATTACTGCTTCAACTTCCTTCACGAAATATGTAAACAGTGAGGGAAATGAAGTTACTGAAACAATATATTTTGTAAATACACCTTTCTACTACAGCACAATTACATCTTACATCACCGATGTAAGTATACAAACTACTTCTACTTATTCTACACTAATAACAATAAACACAGACAACGAAGGAAATGAAACTACAACTACAATATATTTGGTTCATTTACCTACTGCAACATCTACAAGCAATATATCAAAATCTGAAACTACAAAAACAAACACAATATCCATCACAAGTAACGAAGAGGAATTGACTACTGCTACTTACACTTCCACCGACTCTGAAGGTAATGTCACCACTGGTGTTACTACTTACCCAGTTGAGCACACTTCTGATGAAGAGGAATTAACTACTGCAACTTTCACTTCCACCGACTCTGAAGGTAATGTCACCACTGGTGTTACTACTTACCCAGTTCATAACGCTTCCGATGAAGAGGAATTGACTACTGCTACTTACACTTCCACCGACTCTGAAGGTAATGTCACCACTGGTGTTACTACTTACCCAGTTGAGCACACTTCTGATGAAGAGGAATTAACTACTGCAACTTTCACTTCCACCGACTCTGAAGGTAATGTCACCACTGGTGTTACTACTTACCCAGTTCATAACGCTTCCGATGAAGAGGAACTAACTACTGCTACTTACACTTCCACCGACTCTGAAGGTAATGTCACCACTGGTGTTACTACTTACCCAGTTCATAACGCTTCTGATGAAGAGGAATTGACTACTGCAACTTACACTTCCACCGACTCTGAAGGTAATGTCACCACTGGTGTTACTACTTACCCAGTTCATAACACTTCCGATGAAGAGGAATTGACTACTGCTACTTACACTTCCACCGACTCTGAAGGTAATGTCACCACTGGTGTTACTACTTACCCAGTTGAGCACACTTCCGATGAAGAGGAACTAACTACTGCTACTTACACTTCCACCGACTCTGAAGGTAATGTCACCACTGGTGTTACTACTTACCCAGTTGAGCACACTTCAGATGAAGAGGAACTAACTACTGCTACTTACACTTCCACCGACTCTGAAGGTAATGTCACCACTGGTGTTACTACTTACCCAGTTCAGCACACTTCCGATGAAGAGGAATTAACTACTGCTACTTACACTTCCACCGACTCTGAAGGTAATGTCACCACTGGTGTTACTACTTACCCAGTTGAGCACACTTCCGATGAAGAGGAACTAACTACTGCAACTTACACTTCCACCGACTCTGAAGGTAATGTCACCACTGGTGTTACTACTTACCCAGTTGAGCACACTTCTGATGAAGAGGAATTGACTACTGCTACTTACACTTCCACCGACTCTGAAGGTAATGTCACCACTGGTGTTACTACTTACCCAGTTGAGCACACTTCTGATGAAGAGGAATTGACTACTGCTACTTACACTTCCACCGACTCTGAAGGTAATGTCACCACTGGTGTTACTACTTACCCAGTTGAGCACACTTCCGATGAAGAGGAATTGACTACTGCTACTTACACTTCCACCGACTCTGAAGGTAATGTCACCACTGGTGTTACTACTTACCCAGTTGAGCACACTTCCGATGAAGAGGAATTGACTACTGCTACTTACACTTCCACCGACTCTGAAGGTAATGTCACCACTGGTGTTACTACTTACCCAGTTCATAACGCTTCCGATGAAGAGGAATTGACTACTGCTACTTACACTTCCACCGACTCTGAAGGTAATGTCACCACTGGTGTTACTACTTACCCAGTTCATAACACTTCCGATGAAGAGGAATTGAGTACTGCTACTTACACTTCCACCGACTCTGAAGGTAATGTCACCACTGGTGTTACTACTTACCCAGTTGAGCACACTTCAGATGAAGAGGAACTAACTACTGCTACTTACACTTCCACCGACTCTGAAGGTAATGTCACCACTGGTGTTACTACTTACCCAGTTCAGCACACTTCCGATGAAGAGGAATTGACTACTGCTACTTACACTTCCACCGACTCTGAAGGTAATGTCACCACTGGTGTTACTACTTACCCAGTTCATAACACTTCCGATGAAGAGGAATTGACTACTGCTACTTACACTTCCACCGACTCTGAAGGTAATGTCACCACTGGTGTTACTACTTACCCAGTTGAGCACACTTCTGATGAAGAGGAATTGACTACTGTTACTTACACTTCCACCGACTCTGAAGGTAATGTCACCACTGGTGTTACTACTTACCCAGTTGAGCACACTTCTGATGAAGAGGAATTGACTACTGTTACTTACACTTCCACCGACTCTGAAGGTAATGTCACCACTGGTGTTACTACTTACCCAGTTCATAACACTTCCGATGAAGAGGAATTGACTACTGCTACTTACACTTCCACCGACTCTGAAGGTAATGTCACCACTGGTGTTACTACTTACCCAGTTGAGCACACTTCAGATGAAGAGGAATTGACTACTGCTACTTACACTTCCACCGACTCTGAAGGTAATGTCACCACTGGTGTTACTACTTACCCAGTTGAGCACACTTCAGATGAAGAGGAATTAACTACTGCTACTTACACTTCCACCGACTCTGAAGGTAATGTCACCACTGGTGTTACTACTTACCCAGTTGAGCACACTTCAGATGAAGAGGAACTAACTACTGCTACTTACACTTCCACCGACTCTGAAGGTAATGTCACCACTGGTGTTACTACTTACCCAGTTGAGCACACTTCCGATGAAGAGGAACTAACTACTGCTACTTACACTTCCACCGACTCTGAAGGTAATGTCACCACTGGTGTTACTACTTACCCAGTTCAGCACACTTCCGATGAAGAGGAATTAACTACTGCTACTTACACTTCCACCGACTCTGAAGGTAATGTCACCACTGGTGTTACTACTTACCCAGTTGAGCACACTTCCGATGAAGAGGAACTAACTACTGCAACTTACACTTCCACCGACTCTGAAGGTAATGTCACCACTGGTGTTACTACTTACCCAGTTGAGCACACTTCTGATGAAGAGGAATTGACTACTGCTACTTACACTTCCACCGACTCTGAAGGTAATGTCACCACTGGTGTTACTACTTACCCAGTTGAGCACACTTCTGATGAAGAGGAATTGACTACTGCTACTTACACTTCCACCGACTCTGAAGGTAATGTCACCACTGGTGTTACTACTTACCCAGTTGAGCACACTTCCGATGAAGAGGAATTGACTACTGCTACTTACACTTCCACCGACTCTGAAGGTAATGTCACCACTGGTGTTACTACTTACCCAGTTGAGCACACTTCCGATGAAGAGGAATTGACTACTGCTACTTACACTTCCACCGACTCTGAAGGTAATGTCACCACTGGTGTTACTACTTACCCAGTTGAGCACACTTCCGATGAAGAGGAATTGATTACTGCTACTTACACTTCCACCGACTCTGAAGGTAATGTCACCACTGGTGTTACTACTTACCCAGTTCATAACGCTTCCGATGAAGAGGAATTGACTACTGCTACTTACACTTCCACCGACTCTGAAGGTAATGTCACCACTGGTGTTACTACTTACCCAGTTGAGCACACTTCTGATGAAGAGGAATTGACTACTGCTACTTACACTTCCACCGACTCTGAAGGTAATGTCACCACTGGTGTTACTACTTACCCAGTTGAGCACACTTCTGATGAAGAGGAACTAACTACTGCTACTTACACTTCCACCGACTCTGAAGGTAATGTCACCACTGGTGTTACTACTTACCCAGTTGAGCACACTTCAGATGAAGAGGAACTAACTACTGCTACTTACACTTCCACCGACTCTGAAGGTAATGTCACCACTGGTGTTACTACTTACCCAGTTCATAACACTTCCGATGAAGAGGAATTGACTACTGCTACTTACACTTCCACCGACTCTGAAGGTAATGTCACCACTGGTGTTACTACTTACCCAGTTGAGCACACTTCTGATGAAGAGGAATTAACTACTGCAACTTTCACTTCCACCGACTCTGAAGGTAATGTCACCACTGGTGTTACTACTTACCCAGTTCATAACGCTTCCGATGAAGAGGAATTGACTACTGCTACTTACACTTCCACCGACTCTGAAGGTAATGTCACCACTGGTGTTACTACTTACCCAGTTCAGCACACTTCCGATGAAGAGGAACTAACTACTGCAACTTACACTTCCACCGACTCTGAAGGTAATGTCACCACTGGTGTTACTAGTTACCCAGTTCATAACGCTTCTGATGAAGAGGAATTGACTACTGCAACTTACACTTCCACCGACTCTGAAGGTAATGTCACCACTGGTGTTACTACTTACCCAGTTCATAACACTTCCGATGAAGAGGAATTGACTACTGCTACTTACACTTCCACCGACTCTGAAGGTAATGTCACCACTGGTGTTACTACTTACCCAGTTGAGCACACTTCTGATGAAGAGGAATTGACTACTGCAACTTACACTTCCACCGACTCTGAAGGTAATGTCACCACTGGTGTTACTACTTACCCAGTTCATAACGCTTCCGATGAAGAGGAATTGACTACTGCAACTTACACTTCCACCGACTCTGAAGGTAATGTCACCACTGGTGTTACTACTTACCCAGTTCATAACGCTTCCGATGAAGAGGAATTGACTACTGCAACTTACACTTCCACCGACTCTGAAGGTAATGTCACCACTGGTGTTACTACTTACCCAGTTGAGCACACTTCTGATGAAGAGGAACTAACTACTGCTACTTACACTTCCACCGACTCTGAAGGTAATGTCACCACTGGTGTTACTACTTACCCAGTTCAGCACACTTCCGATGAAGAGGAACTAACTACTGCAACTTACACTTCCACCGACTCTGAAGGTAATGTCACCACTGGTGTTACTAGTTACCCAGTTCATAACGCTTCTGATGAAGAGGAATTGACTACTGCAACTTACACTTCCACCGACTCTGAAGGTAATGTCACCACTGGTGTTACTACTTACCCAGTTCATAACACTTCCGATGAAGAGGAATTAACTACTGCTACTTACACTTCCACCGACTCTGAAGGTAATGTCACCACTGGTGTTACTACTTACCCAGTTGAGCACACTTCAGATGAAGAGGAACTAACTACTGCTACTTACACTTCCACCGACTCTGAAGGTAATGTCACCACTGGTGTTACTACTTACCCAGTTGAGCACACTTCAGATGAAGAGGAACTAACTACTGCTACTTACACTTCCACCGACTCTGAAGGTAATGTCACCACTGGTGTTACTACTTACCCAGTTCATAACGCTTCCGATGAAGAGGAATTGACTACTGCAACTTACACTTCCACCGACTCTGAAGGTAATGTCACCACTGGTGTTACTACTTACCCAGTTCATAACGCTTCTGATGAAGAGGAATTGACTACTGCAACTTACACTTCCACCGACTCTGAAGGTAATGTCACCACTGGTGTTACTACTTACCCAGTTCAGCACACTTCCGATGAAGAGGAATTGACTACTGCTACTTACACTTCCACCGACTCTGAAGGTAATGTCACCACTGGTGTTACTACTTACCCAGTTGAGCACACTTCCGATGAAGAGGAACTAACTACTGCTACTTACACTTCCACCGACTCTGAAGGTAATGTCACCACTGGTGTTACTACTTACCCAGTTCAGCACACTTCCGATGAAGAGGAATTAACTACTGCAACTTACACTTCCACCGACTCTGAAGGTAATGTCACCACTGGTGTTACTACTTACCCAGTTGAGCACACTTCAGATGAAGAGGAACTAACTACTGCAACTTACACTTCCACCGACTCTGAAGGTAATGTCACCACTGGTGTTACTACTTACCCAGTTGAGCACACTTCTGATGAAGAGGAATTGACTACTGCTACTTACACTTCCACCGACTCTGAAGGTAATGTCACCACTGGTGTTACTACTCACCCAGTTTATTATACTAGTGAGATGTTTAGTGTTTCGGATTTTCAATCGAGTTTATCTGAGAGTTTAGTTTCTGTAGACTCCGATTCCCCATCTATTATTTCTTCGTTTCATAATAGTATTCAAACTGCTGTATCTTCTAACATAGGTATAGTGTCTGAATTTAGTAGTATATCTTCAAACATACTAACTAGTGGTGTATTTTCTACCATACTGTCTTCCAAATCAACTGGTGGCAGTATTATACTTTCATCATTTGTTTACTATAACTCCTCCTTTTCAAATAATGATTTATCTACAACTTTCACTACGAATCCAACTTCCACAATCATTGAATCAGTAGGTAGTTTATCTTCAATCTGTTCTTCTTTTATGACAGTAGGTTCCAAATTGTTCTCTATAAATAATGACTTAACAGAAACAAACAAAGAGGTAAGTTCCAGCAAATTAATTAGCACTAAATCAGTATCACAAACGAAATCGGTAGCAATAACTTCCAGTTACACAGAAAGTATTATTACCGCCTCTGCAAGTAATGGCACCACCGGTATTACCACCTATCCTGTTTCTCAAGCAACAGATCCAGAAGAATTTACTACAATTAGTGAAATTACTAATGTGATTCAGGGAAGTGTTGTTGATACTAAGTCATTGTTTTCTGGAAGTTTCTTAACCTCTAAAATATTGATTTCCTCCAGTAGTTATATTGTTTCCGGAACAATTTCTAATTCTTATGCAACTTCTTCAGCCGCAGTTTCATCTCGTTACCACTCATTTGGCTCCGAATCTTCTCATATGGTTTCGAATATAATTGATTCTAATTCTTTTAGCAGTTCTTCATTTACCGGTAATCCAATATACTCCAATTCAGGTGCTTCATTGCATAATTCATTTTTAACCGAAACCAACGGTATTAGTTCAAACCATCAAACTATTCCGACTAGTAGTCATTTCTTTAAGACATCCTTATTCTCGATTTCATCAGAATCTCACAACCAAGGTAATTCTGTTGTAGTTACAGGACCAGCTACAACAATAGATGTTACGTCACATTCTTATTTTAGCAAGACAAATACTTCTACTACAGACGTGCATAATAGTGATAGTACCAAGACATCTATTCAACTAGGTGATAGTTCAGATGGGGAAAATTGGGAAAGTTCAAAATCCTCTTGTATGGAAGTCAAATCGACTAGTTCAACAAGTAATTACAATGAGATCGGCTCTGATAGTCCATTATCCCATGATAAATTTTCATCTACAGAGGGCATGATTTCTACTACTTTAGATATTAATTCTGAATTTAGTACTTCAGCTGCCACACCTTCAAGTTTGACGAGCATCGAGATATCTTCAACAATATTATCCACTAAGAAAGAGACAAGTTATATATCACAGGGTGTTTCAGGTATGCCTGAACCATCATCTACTGAAATAGTTTCAAACATGCCTGAACAATCATCTACTGAAATAGTTTCAGACTTTGAAGGGAAAGCAATAATGAATAAAGTCAATATTTCATATTTCCGCCTTGTTTTCATTGTTATGGTTGGTATATTGACATAAAATGTGTTTATTTTAACTATTAGGTATACCTAGGTTTTAGTTATTGTACTTTGTGTAGACTAAATAATATTTATATTCGAAGTTTGAATATGATTTTTAACTATTTTTTAATTTTGCCGTTTAAGATACTTTCCAATAGATAATAGGAAGTAGTTAATTGGTTTATCTGGGTGAAGACTCTGCCACTAATTTTTCTTATCAGTGTCAGATTATATACCGTATGGAGGAAGGATCTGTACCACCCAGGTTATAGATTCTGAAGTCTATAAACAGAGTGCATTTCTGATAATATAGACCACTTTCCAGAGGTTATTATCGCTATACCTCGTGTTTTATCTTTCTTTTACATTATAGTAAACAATCAATATCATATAGAATAATACTAGATATTTTTTTGAGTTAATTGCAAAAGAGTGTACCACTTAAATAGTACATATATATGTATATATTTCACATAATAAAGGTATTATAGCCCATTCATTGATTGTTTAAATTCTCTACTTTATTATTTTATGAGTTGTTCTGCTAACACGATATCAGTACATTTTCTCACTATTTCCGTCGGTTAATTAAGACAAATTAAATTAATTATGACAATTGATGATCAATGACAATATTTAAACCAAGAATATACTAAGAATATTTAAATTTTAGTGGAAATAACTAACAATACGTAACAAACCAACTAGAGAGATCAGAATTTTATCTGAATTCTAGATTCTAAATTCAAGAAAATAATATGATGAAATGGTTCAAAATTTCAACGTCATCAAATTTATCAAGATAAGAAGACTCGACAATTTTTAAGATAAAAAATGTTACTTATAGACTTGTGTCACTAACATTAAATATCCTCTGTAATACTAAATATATTTATATATTTCAAAATAGTAGATAATTTTAAATTAATCACACTATCGCACATACAATAAAAAACTGAACAATTTTTTGATAATATTTCTAATATAACAAAATATTCAGTGAGTACCGGAACTAACCTTGTCCAAGACAGTTTCATAAGCAACTTCAGAGAAATCAGTACCTTGGACATCAGAGGCAATACCGTTCAAGGCTCTTCTCAAAGCATCCTTTGAAGAAGCGTAAACCATCTTTGATCTAACTGGAGCGGTATCTGGGGACCAAGTTAAAAAGACAATCTTTGATCTTTTACCTTCACCAGCACCAACTTCATATTCGAAATCATAAACAGCGTATAAACATTCATTTTCTGGTAATTTTTCTAAGAAGACATCGTAAGATGGTTCAGCAGAAGTTTCCTTAACAACGATTTGGGTTTTGTCATCATTTAAACCGTACAAAATGAATTTATACTTTTTACCCAATTTCAAATCATTAAAGGCAGCTAAAGATTCATCAGCTACAGCAACACTATTTAAATCCAAACAGTCATTAGTATCATCAAATTTGAACATATTTTTATTACTATCTATTCAAACCAAAAGTGATAATTAACAAAAACACCAAAAAAAGAAAAAAAACAACAGAAATTTAAGTTAAATAAAACACAAAATAAGTTTGAACAGACAATAATTCAACGCCAAAATGACAAAACAAAGACAATTAGTTAGTAAAAAACATCCAGTACGAATAGCCCAAATATCTCCATATATTAGCTTATCAATTTACAATTGATCAAACACAATTAACAAAGCAAACTTTAAACTAAATATTACAGATAAAAAAAGAGAATTCGAATCGAGTATACCAAATGTAATACCAATTCGATTAAAACTCACATACCCAGATCTAGACATTTTTATATTTCAATTCACACAGTTATTGGACTGATCAGCAACCAAACTAATAACCAATCTACAATTAATTACAAAAAAAATCAATCTATTTTAATACCTTCAATTGATAAAAAAAGGTTTTGATATTAATATAATATAAGTTTTGAAACCAAATTATATTTCAAAATGCTGTTTTGTTGTATGGGATAAAAACCATCATGATATTTCTAAAAAATATCGAACAGCAGTTGTTTTTGTACAGCAGTTTCTTAGTAAATGTTTTGGATTTATTCGAATGTGAGAGAGAGTGTGTGTGCGTATGCGTATGCGTATGATATTGTATGTGTTTCTCTGGGCTATGTGCTGTAATGAATGCTTAATAGGGGATGGATTGATTGGAAAAAGTAGTGATTGCTGATCGTGCAGATTGATATGTTATGTCGTATTCAGTGAGTTTAGAGATAATCTTGAAGATTCCCGTTCTATTGGGGATGATAAGTACATGTTCACGTGATCAATGGGCGCTAGCATACATTGATAGATTCCCGAGGTATATTATATGTTCGTTTGATCAACATAGAAGAAACAGTAGAACTCTACTTGACAATTTGGTTGAAGTATACATCTAGAGTTACAATTATAATGACCAGTATTCTGGATTATAAAGCCACTCTTACTTGCTGTGCATAGAATTCGTACTGTTCCCTTCGCGTAGGATCTCTGGGGACAAGAAGAGAAATTTAATACTGGGCGACACATAATTGGACCTCATTTATATACTTGGTTAGCATTGGATCTTGTTTGCTTTGCCTTCTAGGTGTAGTAGTAAAAAAAAAATTGTTTTGGGCTTGGCCTGTTACTGTCGTGACAGCAAAAAAAGGGCAAGAAAACACAATAAACCCTCATTAGGAATCTCGAGTCAAAATTGGTACTGTCTTACCTGTATCAATTAGATACATATTATATTATATTACAAATTTTTAAACATGTTCAATATACAAATACCTGTCCAGTTCTTTTAATTGAAAAAAAAGACACATGAAATATAAAACTACAAATCCATGAAAGGTGGCAAAGTTCTTGCTGAATCGTTACAATAAAATTTTCTATCAATCTTTTTTTTATTGTTCATTAAAATGTCATTACGTCTGGGAATAGGAGGCATATGCTTGGGCAAACAAACTATTTAAATTCCCACTTTCTTTACAAATGTCATAAAAGTGTCCCGACTCATTTTTTAAAAGAGTATACGGATGATCATATTCTATTACTTGACCTGCGTCAAGGACTAGAATCTTATCATAATCAATTATGGTTTGCAATCTGTGTGCGATTGCCACTATAGTTACATCTTGGAATTCTGTTTGAATAGTCTCCTGTAGCTTTGCATCTGCCTCATAATCAATTGATGCAGTGGCTTCATCGATTAACAAAATCTTTGTCGATCTTAAAAGGGCCCTTGCCAAACAAATCATCTGTCTCTGTCCTTGAGATATATTTGACCCACCTTCAGACACATAGCTCTCAAGGTTTAGAAATATGTTGAAAGAATCTTTGTTTTTTTTGGAATTGGATATGAAATATTCATCAATATTATCTTTGTCAATCAAATTTACTTTTTTTAAAACCTCGTATATTTCATTATCTCCAAACTTTCCATCGGGATCTAAATTAGATCTGAGGGTTCCTTTAAATAAAGTTGGTTCCTGAGGAATAATGGAAATTGAGCTACGTAGTAATTTTAAATCAATAGTCGAGATGTCGA